TATTTCATCTTCAAATCTGAAGTTTAATTTTGCTGGATATAGGATTCTTGGTTGGCATCCATTTTCTTTTAGAGCTTGGTATATGTTACTCCAGGACCGCCTAGCTTTGAGGGTCTGCTTTGAGAAATCAGCTGAGATCTGTATTGGTTTTCCCCTATACGGAATCTGATATTTTTCTCTCACAGCCTTTAAAGTTCTCTCCTTATTCTGTAGGCTAGGCATTTTCATTATAATGTGCCTTGATGTGGGTCTGTTTTAATTTTGTAAATTTGGGGTCCTGTAAACCTCTTGTATTTGATTTTCCATTTCACTCTTTAGCTTTTGAAAATTTTCTTATATTATTTCTTTGAAAAGGTTGTGCATTCCTTTGGTTTATGTATCTGTACCTTCATCTATCCTGATAAATCTTAAATTTGGTCTTTTCATGTTATCCCATAATTCTTGGAAGTTCTGTTCATGGTTTCTTAGCATCTTCTGTCCATGGTCCACTTTCTTTTCTTTTTTTAAAAAAGTATTTATTTTTTTAGTTGTAGGGGGATATAATACCTTTATTTTATTTTTATGTGGTGCTGAGGATCGAACCCAGTGCCTCACACCTGCTAGGTGAGAACACTATCTCTGAGCCACAACCCCAGCCCTCCACTTTATTTTCAAGATTACATATTGCCTGAGGTTCTGTCTTCCAAGTGGTCTGTTCTGTTGGTTATGCTATTGAATTTTTAATTTGGTTTACTGTTTCCTCCATTTCAAGGATTTCTGTTTTTTTTCCCCTCCCAGAATCTCTCTCTATTGAAATGATCTTTTGCTACCCGTATTTTCTCTCTCATATCATCCTTTACTTTGCAGATCAGTTTAACTATGTGATGTTTCTGTGACATTTCTTCCATTGTGGTTTTGATGGATTCTGTTATTGGAGTGTTTTGGTTTGCTTGGGGCAATTTGTTCCTTTGCTTTTTCATGTTGTTTGTGTGTCTACTCATCTAACTGTATGGATCTGAGGCAGTAGAGTTTTTGCCCTATAGACTTATAGTGTCCCTGAAGGTTTCCAGTACCTCACTTGCTGAGAAACTGGAGGTCAGTTTTCTTGGTTTTACTCCATGGAGCAGCCAGGAATGTTACCTTCTCTATTTTGCCATCTCAATCCCCCAGTTCCAGTTTTGGAAGAACTGGTGACCCTTTTGGGGACAGATGGTTCCTTTTTTTCCCTAGGGGAATGACATGTTTGGACCACACAGTATATAAGGCAGAGGCCCCAAACACAGCCACTTAAGATGTCTTTGTACCAAGCAATTAAACTGCACTGTATGAAAATGAAGAATGTGGTTTGGTAGGAGGCTGAATTTTATCTGCAGATTTTCCTTTCACAGTATCCATCACTACCAGCATACCAACAGACACCCTCAAACTAGATGTGACATGTGAGTTACCAGCATTTACCTCCAACTTATATTTCCCAAGGTCTGGGAAGTTCCAAAACTGTTAGCTTTCCACTATTATAACAAGATACCTGGAGTAGTTAGAAGTTTTATTGAGGCTCAGTCTGGGAGGCTCCAGTCCATGATTGGACCTATTGCTTTGGCCCTGTGGCGAGGCAGCACACTGTGATGGGGGCACATGGAGGAACAAAGCCACTCACCTCATGTCCAGGAAGCAAAAGAGACATGGCACCCCTTCAAAGGCATGCCCCCAAATAACCCCAGATAATCCACTAGGTCTCACCACTTCCCAATAGCATCACTCTGGGAACCCAGCCTTCAACACATGGGTCTTTGGGGAACAGTCAAGATCCAAACTGTAGCAAAAACCCTTTTTAGGATTTCTGTGAATTCCCAGCAGCTTAAGTCTTCACAGCACTCTCTGCATTCAAGTTCAGTTTCCATACCACTGAGATCTGAAACTTGGCCCCTCTAACATTTTCACAAGACTCCCCATACGCACCTTCCCCTTTCCTCACACAGTAGCCAGCTCACATCCTTCCTGGCCCATTTCCCTCCCTTCTGCTCTAATTTCTAACCTTCCCTCTATAGCATACCTAGTAAGCAGTTTAGCTTTTTACAAGTGTTCCTAGCCCTCAGTTCCTCCATTGGTGTTGTGGTGCCAACAAAAATGAAAAAGTCATCACACCCGGTCCTGTGGAAATTGTGGTAAGCAGTAGGCTGGAAGTTGGGGACCGAGCACTGTTTACAGTGGCCATGCGGAATAATTAGGTTTGTTTTTTGGGGTGTGTGTGTGGTATGGGGGATTGAATCAAGTGTCACTGAACTACCTCCCTGGCCCTTTTTATTTTGAGACAGGCTCTTGCTAAGTTGCCCAGGCTGGCCTTCAACTTGCAATTCTCCTGCCTTAGCCTTCCAAATTGCTGGGATTACAGGCATGCACCATCATACCAAGCACAATGTAGACGGATTTTTTTTTGTACTAGGGATTAAATCCAGGGCCACTTAGCCACCGAGCCACATCCTCAGCCCTTTTTATTTTTTTTTTTGAGACGGGGTCTCCCCAAATTTCTTAGTTCCTTGCTAAATTGCTGAGGCTGGCTTTGAACTTTCGATACTTCTGCCTTAGCCTCTTCAGTCACTAGGATTACAGGCGTGCGCTACCACGCCTGGCTTGGGTGGAATCTTTCAAAGGCTTTAAGAATGACAGATAGCTGCCTTGTGGTGCGTGCTAAGTGTTAACTACAGTAAACCCATCTTCTTTGAAGCTATCCAGAAAAGGGGGGACATTGGGAATATTGGTGAGATCTAACAAACAAGCTGGTAGGAGCTGGAAGTTATAGAAATGTGTACAGTAAATGTTAGTTTTTGAAGCCTGCATGTTACTTTCATTTTCTCCTGAAAATTAATACTTTAAGCCCTGTTAATGTTCTTGCCAAATTGTATACAACTCTTGCCTACATCCCTTTTGCCTTCTTTGCTGTAATTATCCTTTTTTTGACAGCAGGGGTGTGGGTACTGGAGATTGAACTCAGGGGCACTTACCATGGAGCCACATCCCCAGCCCTATTTTGCATTTTATTTAGAGACAGGATCTCACTGAGTTGCTTACTGCCTCACTTTTGCTGAGGCTGGCTTTGAACTCGTGAACCTCCTGTCTCAGCTTCCCTACCCGCTGGGATTACAGGCACGCACCACTGTACTTGGTTTGTAATTATCTTGTTTCTACCTATTTCACTTCATCCTACAAGTTGTGACTTTGGCTAGAACTCGTCAAATCAAGCTGTGGACATATTATTGCCTTTCCCAGAAACACTGCTGCTGCTTCCACACCTCATCCTTGACCCATAGGACTGCTGGCTTTCATTGAATGGGTCCTGTGTTTTTCTGCTACCATGTCTGGGTCTAAACCTCTGTCTACATGTACTTAGTCACGTTGCTCTTCTAGTCGTTTTTGGTAGAAATCCTCATGGAAATGTAATTCCAGAATCTTTCTTTAACCCCACACTAAAGGGAAAAAAAAAGATCTAAGCAAAATAAACAATGCTATAAAATTTTTTTCAAGTATTTAAAAGTATTACTAACCCCTGTCCCCCACAAAATGCTTTTCCTTTGATTTAATTTCATGGAGTATATGTCAAAGAGAAGCAGTCACAGATCATTTGGGAAAAGTAGACTCCCTAAATCATTGGCGTTCAGTACCAGAAGGTGGCACACTTTTCTTAAAGTAACTGCACACACTTGCCATCTAAGATGTAAACAAAACCCACAAAAACTGAATGGAACTGCACAGCAGTGGGGGTCTAAACCAATCCATAGAGGAAGGTCTCTGGCATCTTCTTTCACATGGGATAGAAATCTCTGACCCAGGGAATCTCTTAATTTGAGCCTTTCCTATTTTTTTTCCTAATTTTTTGGTTATGTGACATAACATAGATGGATGAATTCCATTCATGATACCCTATTATACAAATGGAAGGACAGATTTCATTAAGTTCTGATATCAGATAAATGATACATAGGGACACAGAAAGGGAACAGGTGGAAATAGGTGAAAGAGGAAGGATGGGTAGAGGGAGAAGGGGAAACCACTAGGTATTGAGGTAAGGTGGTTTAAGTCATAACAAGAAGATGGCCCATGCCAGAAATGTGAACAAGGATGTCTGAGGACCGATCAGAGGTCCTGCCAGGTTCTGCTGTGACCCATTACAAAGTTATCCTGGGTAATCCTGTATGATCCTGTGTACTGGGGAGGGGTTTGGAAGGTCTCTCCTCGTGCCCATAACCTACCAGCTTCTGCCAATAAGCATGGTACTTCATCCTTAATCATATAACCTTCCATAATCTGTGCTGTCCACGGAAGACCACCAATCTGTAATTAAAGGGAAGAAAAGCTGACAAGGATATGGGTGACACTAAATCTCTTCTGTTAAGTGTTGATCTTAAATTCTATTAGTAGCACATTTAGTAAACATTTGTGTGCCCAAATGATTATGATTTTCAAATCATAAATATTAATCCACACTAGTTGTGAATCACTAACATAAGAACCACCAACATGAGAATTACTTTATGCATGTAGATGCTAAAAAGCTATTTTTGGTTTGATAAAATACTGAGTGAGATGGTCATGGTGGCACATGCCTGTAATCCCAACGACTTGGGAGGCTGAGGCAGGAGGACTACAAGTTTGTGGCTAGCCTAGGCAACTTAGTGAGATCCTGTCTAGAAAAATAAAAAGGGTTAGAGATATTGGTCAGTGGTAGAGCACCCCCAGGGTTCAATTCCCAGTACCCAAAACAAAAGCAATAAAACAAACACCTCAGCCTACTAAATGGAATTTTTTTTTCTTTTTAAATTTGTTTTCAATTTTTCAGCATACTCTTAACTCATGCTCTTCATCACAATCTGACAGTCAGTTGTATTATCTCCTTCCTAGATGAGGAAATGGGTTCAGAAGGTAGTTTTCATTCAGATTCAGGTTTGTCTCTCACCAAAGCCCATGCCGCCCCACGGTTCGGACAGATGTCTCCACTGGAGCTGTTCAAGTCAGATACTACATAGTCAAGAAAGTTATATTTATTTATTTTCTTACCTTGGCACAGTTTTATGACAGAATATTAATTTTAAAATAAAAAGAACACCTAAACTTTTGATATATATTTTATTGAACATGTATGAGATTCATCTTTACATTACAAACATTTTACAAATAAATTTTTTTTGTTAAAAAAAGAAACATTGCCTGGATTATCATTGTACAGTTTGAAACAAGGAAATATATAAATATGAAGTTCATTCTCCAAGTATTAGCATACTGATGGAATCACTTCAATAACCTTTTTTTTTTTTTTTTTTTTTTGGTGGTGCTGGGGATTAAACCCATGGCCTTGTGCATACTATGTAAGTGCTCTATCACTGAGCCAGTCCCCTGCCACCAATAGTATTTTTCATAAACTGATTGATTAGAAGTTAATACAGGTTGTAGGTAATCAACCAAAGGGTCAAATAAACACACAAGAGGAAAGTGATCCCCAAATAAGATCTATTTCCAAAAAAACCAAAATTTGTATATACTCTAAAATGTCTTCCCTTGTGTGGGATTTGGTCAATGAAGATCAGCTAGAGAATTTTCTGTTATATACATAAACAAACATTTGAAAATGCAGAATACATTGCATGTAAATTAAAAATTTTATCAGCTTTGTCACATGGGAAGACCACCCACATGACCATTTAAAATACAGTATGTATACATTATCTTATGAAAATCACATATTTAAGAGAACAAGGCCTTTATTTTCAGGGCAGTCTTAAAATAGGCTTAATGCAGGAATATTTTACTCTTTATGTTTTATATTTTTTAACATCTCAGCTATTAACATTATGCATAGTACCTAAGCCAACATATGAACAGCGGCTTATCATTTCAACTACTGTACTTGATTATATTCACATGACGTACCATCTAAGAGAACTGACCAAGCATAATTTCAGAACTGCCCAAATTAAAGCCTTGTTAAGAAAATAGAATGCAACCCCATCATATGAGCCCAGTCTGTCTCTCAGAGATTTGTTATGGATTTGTCATACTGTAAGCCTAATACTTCAGAGCACTTCAGAGCATTGAAATATTTTATAGCTTGCAAAGCAGTTTAGTTAGCATGGAAACCTGAAAGTCTAAAATTACTCTGGGATCTTTAAGTTATTAAAACTCATTCCTGCCTGAATTTGAATACATTTTTTTTTTAAAGAGAGAGAGAGAGAGAATTTTAATATTTATTTTTTAGTTATCGGCGGATACAACATCTTTGTTTTGTATGTGGTGCTGAGGATCGAACCAGGGCCGCACGCATGCCAGGCAAGCACGCTACCGCTTGAGCCACATCCCCAGCAACATCTTTGTTTTGTATGTGGTGCTGAGGATCGAACCCTGGCCGCACGCATGCCAGGCAAGCACGCTACCGCTTGAGCCACATCCCCAGCCCCTTGAATACATTTTGAATGGAGGCAAGTTGAAGATTATTTTTTCCTTGCAGCAACAAAAGAGCTAAGTGGTCAACATTTGTGGCTCACAGTTTTGTTCAAAAAAGCATATATAGAAGAATCTAATTTGGATATTATTCTGATAATTTTATGCTGGAATGGGAAGGTAGAGTTTAGAATTATTGGTCAAGACTTTTTCAGATCATAAATACTAATGTATACTAGTTGTTTGTACACAGAAGCCTTTACACAGAAGACTACGAAGGGGAGTCAACCTTTAAAGTGTAAACTGATGGCCCAGGGCCTTCTCTGCCCGGTGCTACCCTTCCTTCATATCCTGTCTGTCTCAGTCAACATCAGTTCAAGTCACAGGAAGAGCATCTCCTAACTGGCCTGTGTATGCTTCTCAACAAGATATTTAAGACTCTTATTTATCTCATCCCAAACATGTAGCTTTAAATTGCCATTAGTCTTTTTCTCTCAGACAGAACTAGAAAAAGTGTTACATATTTGCAAATTATCTAACACTGGGCTATTTGAAGTTTGACTTTAATATTTAAAAATTAATTTATTAAGAATCTACTTTTCAAAATCCATTTTATTAAAACAAAATCAAAAGTTTCAAAGTCCAATTATCTAAACTTAAAAAGTGGACTTTGTGTGTGTGTATATGATATAAGTATATATCATATATAGATAGATAGATAGATATAGATATATATAGATATCATATACACACACAGTCTCTTTCTTTATATATATCACCCACCCCCACTCTCCCAGCCCTGGGGATTGAACCCAGGGACTTGCAAATTCTCTACCACTGAACCACTGAGCTACATCCCCAGCCCAGGACTTTGTATTTAATAAGCAGCTTTTTTTGTTTTCATTAGCTACATGAGATTAACAATACAAGTTTTAGGGAAAGAAAAACTATAGTAGTAAGGAAGGCACTTAACTCTTAACAACCCTTAATAAATATTCTGATAGGACTGTAGCGAAATTTGAATGCAAAGTATTCCAATGGAATATGAGAATAAATAAAATGAATCCAGACGTTGACTGCAAAGGTCATGGCCATTAAGTTTTTTTTTCCCCTCTTAACTTCTTAACTAATGTTTCTGCTTATTAATTTTTTTTATATTTACTACTATATAACTCAAGATGGGTTTGGTGGCTGCTAAAATTATAAATGCATGATTTTCATGCTTTTAAAATCTCTTCACATTTCATTTTTAAAAAAAGCATTCTGTACCATTTTAAATACCAAGAACTAATCTGAATAAAGACAGGGCCAGGGGCAGCTAGGGATGAGTAAGACAGGGGCACTGCCTTGACTAAAGCACCTTTTACAGGTCTGAGGAGTATCCTCACTGAACCATGCTTATAATCTAGTTTTATCATTTTTAAAACTGCAAAATCATCTGCCAAAATGCCAATAAAAATATAGCCTAGAAACAATATTTTGAAAATAGAAAAATATGTTTTAAAAAATGTCATAATAAATATCTCTTTAAACAATATCTTCTATCTTCCTATCTCTAAAACTTTGCTTCTTTCCATAATATGTAATAAGGATCAGTTCACTTGAAGACAGACAAGTCTTTCTTCCTTTTTGCTCAGTTTCACAGTCACTGTTGCTTTGGATTTTTCTTTTTTCTTTCCACATTTTTAAAAACCAGTGCACTGTAGTTGTATAGAACAGTGGAGTCCTTACCTCTTAATAAATCATTTTCTTTATTTGGACTAAGAGAACTAACCAAGCATAATTTCACTAAAATATTCAGGTCAATCGTTTTTCTTCAATATCTATATATTTTATTTTTTGATACTAGGGATTGAACCCAGGGTGCTTAACTACTGAGCTATATCCCCAGTCCTTTTTATTTTTTGAGACAGGGTCTCTCAAATTATTTAGGGCCTTGCTAAATTGCTGAGGCTGGCCTTGAACTTGGGATCCTCCTGCCTTCACCTCTTGAGTTGCTGGGATTACAGGCGTGTGCTATACTGCACATGGCCTTCAAAATATATCTTAAAAAATAAAAAAAATATTGGACTTATAAAACCTTTTCAACATCCAAAATATTCTAAATAATTTAAGAATTCAGAATATTTTAAAAATTTCAGAATCTATTTGTAAAAATTTATTAATATGGGATACCCAATCTTTGAAATTAAAAAAAAAAAAAGTCCTAACATGAACTTTTCTATTTTTTTTTCCGAACCTTTAAATTTGGATATTTTGCCAACATGAAAGCTAGACCAATTTTATTCTGACATTTTCTTTCTTGAACATGATTTCGAAATTAAGGACTGGGACATCAATGGTTCTAAGGAATCTGTTTTTCTTCAGTGATTTGAGTTTTTATTTGATTCCAAAAAGGTTTTGATCTTTCCACATGGAGACGGTCATATAAGAGCAGAAAACCTCTAAAGTTTATATGCTGTGCTGTGAAACTGAAACCAGACGAGATATTCATATTTTAAAGCCATATTTGATGTATATTACAGTCTACTCTTGCCTCAAAACAATTAATTTTTGATATAGTAAAGAAGAAACCATAATATCTGACCATAGGAAGCTAAAATGGAAAACTACCAATCCTTCAGCTCAGTAATGTTAAGTAGCTGTTTCCTATTTTCTACCTACTACCATGTCAGAGTAAGTTTCAGCTTTAGACAAGCCTGAATTTTCACAGAAAAAGATGCTCTGTTTCAGATCATATCACAATTTTTCTCGTGTTCTAAATTTTGACTGTTGAAACCAGCAGGTCTTAATTCAGTGAATTAAAATAGTTCTTCTGTTTGGGTGCCTTATGGTGGCCTAACATATTGAATATTAAGCTTATTTTAAATCTTCACGTATAGTGCTAGTGGGGATTCTACAGCTCATCTAATGTTAATGACAAATAACAATACTATATACCACATAATAACAATATCACATCCATTTACCTACCTCAGACTTAAAACACACTTGTCATTTGATTTATGACTGACATATTTATATTAATTTTAAGCATTTTATGTTATTGTAGTAAAACATTTTCCCAAAGCATGAACACCCACACTTTATATCAATTATTGCATCAAAATGAGTTAATAAACAGTATAATACCTTAGGTAGTATAATATGGAATATTTCCTTAAGAGGACTTAATAACTATCTTGACAGAATTTATAAGGGTTTAAATTTAAATTATATTCACTTATATCTAAAATGTAAAATTAAAATAAAAAACATACAGCCCAATCTATTGAGCACCTCTATCACAGATTTTACTCTTGAATACTAAAATTATACTCAGACATATCTAGTGCTGTTTTTCCATTGGGTATTTTGAAAGAAAGAACAGTTTTTCACTGTCATGTGCAGTAGCCACAGGAGCAGTGCACCTCCAAGGCACACTCTGGCACACTGCCTTGAGAATACCATTCAGATGTTCCTTCTCACTGGGTGGGGAAGGTGGGCGCTTTTGGAGACGAAATCAGCTTTGGCTTTCTTCTTGACAGATGAGGTTCACAGATTCCTTTTAAGTGCTCGACTAAAATGCCTCCATACATCAACTGCCCACACTTTAAATCCACAGGGAAGCTTCAGATCTCCGGCTTGACTGCTAGCGTTTGATCACAACTTGTTCATAAGCTCCAGACCCCACCCTAGAACAGCAGGGGGAATAAAACCTTCAAAATGTTGAGCTGAAGTGTTTGAAATTGAGAGAGAATGCACTGAAGAGTTTTCTAATAGATTTCATTTCTACAAGGTTAAAAGGTATCACAAGTAGAAAATACTTGAAAGAGTAAATGTTTATAATTAATACATTGGGTTAGTCTAGGCCTTGATCTTCCTACTTATTTCCACAATAACCCAATAACACAATTCTTGACCTATCAATAAACTGCTACAAGGAATATTCTCTTCAAACATGTTTATATACAAATGCTAAAAAGTCAATCTCATCCAAGAGTATAAGTGACTTCAGCAGTGCATCAGGCCTTGCACTCAGTTAATGATGATAGTCTTTAGTTGTTATAGTAGTGTGGTTATCTTATTGAGCCCAAGTCTCACTATGTTGTTGAACTTCTGGGTTCAAGCAGTCCTCCTTGCCTCAGCCTCCTGAGCAGCTGAGAGTACAGGAGCATGCCCCAGAACTGGCTAGAGAATTCTTTTAGTTAATACATAAATGTCATTTTTTTTTTTTTTGGTAGATCTGGGGAATGAACTCAGGGCCTCATTTTTGCTCAACAAGTACTGTACCAATGAGCTACCTGTGCTCTAGACATTTTAAATTTTTGTTTTTGGTATAGGGTCTTGCTAAGTTGCCAACTTGGCCTAGAACTTGGGATTCTCCTGCCTTAGTGTGTCAAATAGCTGGGATTTCAGGTGTGCATCCTGGCACTGGATGCTTAACGGCATTTTAAGAGAAAATTTTAAAAGATGGCAATAAGTTAGTGGTTATTAGTACATCATGAACTGAGTTGGACTTCTAAGCTGACTGCTGAGGGTTCTTACAAATTTATTGCACAGCTGGGTTGGGTGGCGCACAGCTATAATCCCAGCAGCTAGGGAGGCTGAGACAGGAAGATTGTGAGTCCAAAGCCAGCCTCAGCAAAAGCAAGGTGCTAAGCAACTCAGTGAGACCCTGTCTCTAAATAAAATACAAAATGGGTTTGGGGATGTGGCTCAGTAGTCGAGTGCCCCCTGAGTACAATCCCTGGCACCTCATCCCCCACCAAAAAATTAAAACAGATTCACTGCACAGAAGAAATGATGGGACCATCTTCAAATGAGTACCAATGAATATCCATTTGTAGCCACAGATAATCAGAATTTGTGTGCTGTGGATTTAGCTCAGTGGTAGCATGTTTGTCTAGCATGTGCGAGACCTTGGGTTCAATCCCCAGCACTGCTTAAAGAGGAAAACAAACAACTCACAGGCTATAATCATAATCTTATTTATTTATTTATTTATATGTAGTGCTATGGATGGAACGCAATGCCTCACATGTACTAGGCAAGCACTCTACCATTGAGCCACATCCTTAGCCCCAGCAGACAATCATTATTTGAAGGAACCTGGCTTTGGGATGTCCTTTTAAGTATGCTCTGCTCTGGCCATAATGGAATAATAGGAACCAAGGTTTCTTTCCTGCCTTGAATAGTTATAAACTCAATAGAACATAGAAAATGAGAGTTTATACACACTGGACAATAGGCAGTGCAAGACTGTTTTCCCAGTAAAAAGGAAATCAATGAAGAAAGTCCTACAATGGCCCCAACTTGCTGCCTGAAGCAGTTTGCTTCAGGATCTCCCTAATCTGCAGGGAGGGAGGACCTAAAAACTTGGTGGTCTGAGTGGAGGAGGAGGAGGTCAGGGCTCAGAAAAGCTGGTGGATAGAATTTGAAGGTTAGAATACCAGAAGGAAGGGTAGGAGAATTTTCAGATTTGATAAAAACTATAAACCCAGAGATCCAAGAAGCTTAATGAATCTCAGGCAGAATAGATACAGAGAGAAATACATCAAGGCATATCATAATCAAACTGTTAAAAGTAGCGAAAAGAGGAAATCTTAAAAGCAATCAGAGATAAAAGACAACATACAAAGGAATAAAAATGAAATCAAAGCAGACTTCTTTTTAGAAAATAAAGTTGAGCAAGCAGGTGCAAGCAGGTGCACACAGGACCCTATAAGAAACCCTGTGCAGGCAATCAGTATCCACTAGACTTCAGAAAGATTACTGCTGAAAGCCCTCACCAAATCTGTATGGTTTGTTGCTGTGTTCTCTCCGTTCTCTTCTGTCCCTAGGTAAATGATTCTGGTTTCATTTGTACCATCATAGTTTATCTCACAGAACAGATCTAATGCTGACATGTTAACTTCTCTGATAAATACCCATTATCTATTGAGAGCCTATGTGTATAAGCAGCATGCTGGTCACTTCAAATAGCTTAATATCCAGAATTAACTCTGCAACAGATCTTCAATTAGTGTATATAAAGTGATCGAATGCTTATTGCATACCAGATATTGTTATAAGCGTGTACATATCTTACCTCATTTAATTTTAACCTTATTATTCTTATGAGATAGTTTCCATTAGCAGCATTTTATGGTGAGGAAATTGAGGTAAAGAGAAATGACTTTCAAAGACACAGCTAATAAGTGGTGAAACTTGGTACTAAACTAAGCAGCCCAACTCCTGAGCCTGTGATGTTAACCCTACTGATGCAGTGCTTTCTGGTAGCAGGTGAGAGATGTGGTTAGCCAAGATCATAGCTAAGCTGAGTCATAATAGCTAATCCAGGAATGAAACCCAAGTCTATCTGCCTCTGTGGCCCATTATCTTTCACCATGACATATTCTCTCTGATGTTCTTTGGTGTTTCTGTGGCATGTCATATGAACCATTTACTCTGAAACCTAATGAACACTTCAGGCTTTCATGCATTGGATGATTATTGTATTTTTTTCATATTTTTGTTATTAGCAGTGCTAGGGATCAAACCCAGGGCCTTGTACATGCTAGGCAAATAGTCTGCTACTGAGCTACAACCCTGGGCCCCAGGTGATTATTCTAGCATTCATTTGAAAAGGGGGTGGGAACCAGAATCAACTTCTTTACTAAATAAATGTTTTTGTATCCTAAGTTTTAGATGATCTCTCAACCAAAATTCATCTTTCTTTTCTCTGAATAACAATAATACTCATAGCACATATTGAAAGTATTCAATGTATCTTTTTTTGCTCTGACAAAATTATGTCACTTTTCTAAAATGCCATTCTGATAGATCATTTCCATGCAAGAATCACCAATGGCTCCTACTGTAAATATGAGGAAGAATAAACTCTTCATTATATCAACCGAGGCCTTTATTACTGGGCTTAAAGACACTTGTCAACCAACCTTATGTCCTCAAAATTACTTTTACATGACCCATTCTGGGAAGAAATATTTTAGGTAATTCTCTAACTAGGTCATATTATTTAGAAGCTGGTAAGGTCAAAGTGGTTAAGTGTGATGGGCTTTGGATTTAAAGAGACATGAATCTTGAGCCTTGGTTTCACCACTCAACTAGTTTATGGCCTTGGGCAAATGATCTCTACTTCTTTGTATCTTTGTCTCCTTATTTTATTTTTGTAGTGGGATTGAACCCAGTGACACTCTACCACTGAGCACCCTCAGCTCTTCTTTAAATTTTGAGATAGGGTTCTTCTACGTTACTGATGCTGGTCTTGAACTTCAGTCTTTTTTTTTTTTTTTTTTGGTGGTGCTAGTGATCAAACCCCAAGGTGGGAGGGCGATGAGTTACATCCCTAGCCCCCTTCTTTTTCAATTTTATTTTGAGACAGGATCTCACTAAGTTGCCCAGGTTGACCTTGAATTTGTAATCCTCCTGCCTCAGCCTCCAAAGCAGCTGTGATTATAGTTGTGCATCTATTTCCATGTTTTAAATAACTAATTATAGTGTGTTGTGTGCACTGAAAGAGATACTATAAGAAATGAATACAATACATATATGTATGTGCTTATGCCTGGCACATAACTAATAAATACTCAATTTTACCTATAATAAGTATTGTATAATTATAATGCCTATAAATTCATTTTATTTGCTCCTATTACCAGGAATATCTGTCTTCCCTGAATTTGCCTGATAAACCCCTACTTATGGGCTGGGGTTGTGGCTCAGTGGTAGAGCACTCGCCTAGCATGCATGAGGCACTGGGTTTGATCCTCAGCACCACATAAAAACAAAATAATGTGTCCACCTTAAAAAAAAAGCAAAACAATACCTAAAGATACATAAATAAATAAATATTTAAAAACCCACTTATATTTATTCTCCCAAAGACCCTCTTCAAGTATCAGCTCTTCCAGGGAGTTTCTCCATCTGAGTCCCTTTGCTGTTCTCTCAGAGTTCCCTCTACTATTTATAGTTTGTCTATCTTACCTGATATAAATAGTTTAGGCTTTGTGGGCCACATGGTCTCTGCTATACTATGCAATTCTGCTGTTACAGCATCAAAGCAGTCACAGATAGTATATATGTAACCAGGCATGGTTGTGTTCCAATGACACTCGCTTTACAAAAACAGGCAATGGTAATTTGGTCCACTGGCTGAGGTGCCAACTCCATGTGCTAGGACCATCTGCTGGCTGAGGGTAAGAGCTGGGTCTTTCCTCCTTGTATCCTTATCCACAAGCAGGTCCAAAAGTTAACTAAATTTAATGAGCGGATAAGTCATGAAGATTAATTAAAGGTCTAACTTGTGCTATATCCTTTATAAACTGCTTTTCAAGTTACTTCTTCAGGGCTGGGGCTGCAGCTCAGAGGTAGAGTCCTTCCTAGCACATGTGAGGGTTAGATCCTCAGCACCACATAAAAATAATAAATGTATTATGTCCATTTACAACTAAAAAAATTTAAAAAATTACTTCTTCATAGCATCTTTATGTTTCTTTCTTTCCTACTACCATATATGACTCTAGTTAATGATGTAGGTATTTGCTATTAGACACTATTTTGTATCCTTTGGGCTCTATAATGTGCTGGACACATAGGAGATACTCATTAAAATGAATACTGGTACAAGAAATGAACTAAAAATTCTTTCAGATTTTGAGCATGAAATAATAAAACAAATGTCTTGGCCTAGGCATTCCCATACCCCTGCAACTCTGATTTACTCTGTTGTGTGTAAGCTGTACATAAATATTACATAGAAACAGTGCCAGGGGTGCACAGAACGGATGTTGGGAAGAGGACAATCAGAATTCCTAAGGTGTCCTTGACAGCTGTACTTACCATTCTGAAGTATAGACTGATTATCGCTAATCTGAAAATGCGACATGTTTCAAAATCTGAAACTTTTTGAGGATGGCATCTTGCTTAAAAGTTTCAGATTTTGGAGCTCAACTGGTGATATCAGTGTAAATATTCCAAAACTTAAAAAACTGAAATCTGAAACACTTCTGGTCCTAAGTATTTTGGACAAGGAATACTCAACTTATATTGAGAATCAGGGTGGTAGGTCTGGCAGATAACTTTTCTCCATCTGAATTTGAATAACTACCAAAATGATATTTGGTTTTCAGATATTTTTTTTTGGTAGCTTCAGAGTGAATCCAGTGGGTGTACTAAGGAGCTACAGCCCCAGCCCTTTTTTTTTTTTTGAATTTATTTTATTTTTTTAAAGATATGACAGTGGAATGCATTATAATTTTTATTACACATATAGAGCATAATTTTTATCTTTGTATATAAAGTGTGTTTACACCAATTCATGTCATTATACATGTACTTTGGTTTTTTTTTGTCATTAAAATTTTTATTACACATATATACCACAATTTTTCATATCTCTGTTAGCCCCAGCCCTTTTTATCTTTTGAGATAGGGTCTCACTAAGTTGCTGAGGCTTAATTACTTATGCTGATCTGGAAGGTGCAGTTCTCCTGCCTCAGCCTCCCATGTCACTGGAATTAGAGACGTGTGCCATTGCAGCTGGCTTTAGAAATTAACTTGGAACGTATGTTAGACTCTAGCAGTAAGAAAGGAGAGTGCAAGAAAAGTTAGTTATTAGCTTATGTTGCTGAGTGGGTGCTTAACTGCACATAACAGAAAGGTCACTGAAAACTAAAGGTCGAATGTTCTTTTTGATATGTGGATGCTGGAAGAATAGAAGTTCAGAGGATTAGACAAAGGGGATTGAAGGGAATAGAGGGGGGATGGGAAAAGGAAAGACAGCAGAATGAATGGGACATAACTTTCCTATGTTCATATATGAATACATGATCAGTGAAACTCCATGTCATGTTCAACCACAAGAATGGGGAGTTATATTCTATGTTATGTATAATGTCAAAATACATTCTACTATCATGTATAACTAAAAAGAAAAAATTAAATAAAAAAGATAGGCCACTGGCTGGAAATATGGTTTTACTTTGTTCTGTCTATAATACTGGACCAAGAGGTGGGGACAGTGGCACACACCTGTAAACTCTTCAGGAAGCTGAAGCAAGAGAATTGCCGAATTCTAGGCCAATTAGTGAGACCCTGTCTCAAGATAAAAAATAAAATGGATTGCAGGCTGGGGTATAACTCAGTGGTATAAGACTTGCCTAGCATGTGCTAGGCTCTGGATTTGATCCCCACTGCAGAAAGAGAGGAAGAGAAAGAACTTGGTATGTAGCTTAGTGGAAAAAACATGCAATTTCAATCTCCAATACAGAAAAACCAACCAAAACAAAAATAAAATATTAGACTAAGATTCTTTTTTAAACAATTTTTTTATATTGCAACTTGTCTGGGAGCTCTACTAGTCCTTTACTAATATACTCTAAAAACACATCTAAGGAAATTATCAAATTTATAAAATATAATGTCAAACACATCCTGAATAAGGAAAAGTGAGAGCTACACCAAGAACTGTTAAGTCTTCTCATGCAATCACTAATATTAGTATTGTATAGCCTCAGTCTAATAAAAAAATTGCAACCTTTGTCCTCCACTCAAGCATTTTTTAAAAGTTAAGTCTGTATTTTAATAAGGTACTATTTGGACTACATACCTGTTTGGAAGATGATGACTGCCAAAGGTTGTACTTCCACCAGGACCCACAAATAACCTCAGTCCTTCTTCTGCAATATACATTTAAAATTTTGTTAAATGGATACTTATTAGGCTACTGCCAAATAATATTCATATTTTAATAATTCAAAATTCATATTTGTTTCTTAAAATAATCAAAACCAATTATGTACATGGCAATTTAAAAGCTATCCTTCTAGTTACTTCTGATCAACTTCCCTTCAATTCTTTTTCTTTTAACTGAGTAAAGAAGACAGTCTTTCCTACAATTTTTCACAAGGTTTAATTATTTCTGTTTACAACCCATTACACAATGGAACTAAGTCCATTGTTAAATGTGCTCTATACACACCATCTGAGTAACTTCATTTGAGTAATTGTACCTTTCAAATTCGTGACACATAAATTTATAGTTTAGGGAAAACACTAAGGAGGGATTGAAGGACTATGTTATTCCCTATTGTTCAAAACCAACTTTCCAAATCCTGTGACTTGAAGTACTACCACAGACACAGATGTAGATCTCTATTGTAAGGTATATGAACATGGCAGTTGCTGAAACATAATTTTAAAATACAAATATTCTTTAGAATTTCTTTTTGTTTTTTGGGGTGCTAAAAATTGAACCCAGGACTTCACAAAGGCTAAGTAACTGCTCTACCACTGAACGACAGCCCCTCTAAGACTGATCACTTTTAACTAAAGTTTGTTTCTTTCCCAAACTCAATATGCATCCTCAGAAATAAATAAGCTACAAAGTTATCTTGAGATTTTTATGAGCATCAAATTTCTTTTACAAGTGCGTAGCAGTGGCATGATGTACTGCCACTTTCCTACTGACCACATGGATTGTACAAACCTGGGTTACAGAACTCTATACTTAACAGTTCTCTACATACCTTCTGCACTGGAATCTAGGCTGAAGTCTTGACTTTGTAATATTTTTTCCACAATATCATCTGCATCCACTCTGGTGTCATCAACTCGCTTCATCTGAGATTCTACAGAATCCTGGTTCATTGGGCATCTTCAAAAAGAATCACAGGGTTTTTTTTTTATCCATTATTTTATAAAAATAATTTTTTTCTTTTCTTTTTGTGGTACTAGGGAATAAACCCAGAGCCTCACACATGCTAGGCAAGTGCTAGGCAAAGTTTTTTTGTTTTTAAATTTAAATTTATCTTTAAACTAAAAGGATACCTGTTGAGTTTTTCAGAGGCTACATCTTCTTTATCAGCTACATCAAGATTTGGATCAGCTATTTTTTGCTCAATTTCATCACATGGCTCTAGAATACTTTCAATTCCTGTTGATGTACTTCCCACTGAGGTATTTCTCCTGTGGCAGAGCTCAGAGAAACTTGATGACCGGGAGTGACATGTGCTATACCCTGTCAGAGAAAAAAATCACTTTGGATATAATACTAATGGCAGACACACTGTAATCTAACACCCTTCTCCCACAAAATACTTAACTCCCTTCTCCCACAAAACAGCAGTTTCAAATCCTTTTAGGAATAAGAAATAAGGGATTCAACTTCACTGCTAGCCTCTACCTGATACTTTTGACTGCTGGCTTGCATAGCTTGATGTTCTGGAATGTCCACAGGCACCAAGTTCATCTGGAACAGAGGCACTTTTTGCTGAAAGATCTGCAATAAGTCATAACATGATGTTATTACTACCAAAAATTAATGGTCAATCTCTATTCTAATGTTCAGATTTTATAAGCTGTTAAGTTCATTTTAAGAAAAATAAGTTATAAAGTGACAGAGATATCTTTAAATCAGTACAATCACATTGCAAGAAAATTTCAAAAAATCTTACAAATAAAATATCTTAGATCATAGTATATTTCACAATATTTAGCAGCATGCTATCTTAAAAATATTATAACTTGGGCTGGGTCTGTAGCTCAGTGGTAAAGCGCTTGCCTTGCATGTGTGAAGCACTGGGGTTTGCTCCTCAGCACCACATAAAAATAAAGACACTGTGTGTTCATCTACAACTAAAAACATATTTAAAAATATTATAACTTGTGTTCAGCACTTCTCTAATAAAAATGAGTCAAGTTTATTCCTTTAAGTTCTCACAAAATTGCCAGATTTAGAGTGAGTGGTTTTTGAGGAAATCTTGCTTCTTTAAAAATGTATCACGGCCTTAAAGTAAAGAACACTTTATTACTTTAATGTCAGTGTTGCTAGTGCTAGGTTATAATTTGCATCACATCTATGGCTTAATGCAGCATGGAAAGTTCTTACAAAATTGATTACAGTACTCAGTTTCAAAGTAAATTTACAAAAAAGCAGTGCTCAAACTGTTTCCTAGTAGTTCCCTGATCACATGCATATTCCAGATGCCAATTAGGTCCTTCCAGAAACAAACTTCTCCCTCTGAATGCAGAATTGTGACCATTTTCATTAGGATGAAATATTTGGAAACTAGAACTGTTTTTAAATTAGAAGCAGAAGGAAAGCAATTGAGTAATATAGTAATTATAGCAGCAGTTCTATAAATGATATTGTACACAGTTGGACCAACAAATGCTGCCAAATAAGTAAGCTACTGGAGTGACCTGGCCATCTGCGAAGGTTACTCATTTCTGGACAGATTGGAAGCACAAGAGCATCTATCTCTGCACCAGTCCTAATCCCAAAGGTTAACTCCAACAGAACACATTCAAAGAGCTGGTTCATAGTGAGAATTTTTTTTTTTTTTTAAAGAGAGAGTGAGAGAGACAGGGAGAGAGAGAGAGAATTTTTAATATTTATTTATTTATTTTTTTTAGTTATCGGCGGACGCAGCATCTTTGTATGTGGTGCTGAGGATCGAACTCGGGCCGCACGCATGCCAGGCAAGCGCGCTACCGCTTGAGCCACATCCTCAGCCCCCATAGTGAGAATTATATAGAGCCCAAACTACTCAGATCGTAACTCATCGATTTATCTCCTGGTTTTAAAAATTTATTTGTTCAATAAATATTTATTGGGCTGGGGATGTGGCTCAAGTGGTAGCATGCTCGCCTGGCATGCGTGCGGCCTGGATTCGATCCTCAGCACCACATACAAACAAAAATGTTGTGTCTGCCGAAAACTAAAAAATAAATAAATATTAAAAAAATTCTCTCTCTCTCTCTTTTAAAAAATAAATAAATATTTATTAAGTTCTTACCAAGTCAGGTGCCCAAGGTATAGAGAGTACAAAGGTATAGGAGTATAAAATAAATAAGACAAAATACATGTTCAGAGTTTAGAGGTAGAAGCAAACAGAAAACAATGCTGCAAGCACTAAAATACAAGCACCCCAAGGAAGCTGTTAAGAGCTCTAAAGGACAGTGCACATAACATCACCTGGTTACAGTGGAAAGAGCTCACAGAGACTAACCAAGCCTTTAACAATGTCTCAAAATCCCTCAGGTAGATGAGGAGGGAAAGGCATAGTAGTAAGTGCATACCTTGCTTGTAGAGAAGCAAATGGTTTGGTAAAGTTGGCAAAGAGTAGAGGGGTTGAGGGCTGAAGGGAAAAGAGGCTGAAGAGATAAGCTGAAGGACTTCCTGTGAGTTTATGAAGCAAATCATTTAATGGCTCAAAGCAAGAGTGTGACTGACCAATCCATATTCTGAGAAGATTACTGGGGCAACAGAATGAACAGAGGATGAAGAAGTGAAGGTTTTCCTTGGAATGGAAGCACCTTTTAACCCGGTTATCCCACTTCTCAGTATCTACTCAAAGGACTTAAAATCAGCATACTATAGTGAGGCAGCCACATCAATGTTTATATCAGCACAATTCATACTAGCTAAGCTATGGAACCAACCTAGGTGCCCTTCAACAGATGAATGGATAAAGAAAATGTGATATATATATATATACACAATGGAATATAACTCATCCATAAACAAAAATGAAATTATGACATTTGCAGTTAAATGGAAGGAACTGGAGACTATCATGCTAAGTGAAATAAGCCAATTCCAAAAATCCAAAGGCCAAATGTTCTCTCTGATGTGCAGATGCTGACTCACAATAGGCCAGGGAGAGGGATGGGAGGGAGGATGGAAATGGGAAAGAAAGGGAATCAATTGGACATAGCTTTTCTGTATTCATATATGAATATACTACCAGTATAACTCCACATCATGTACAACCACAAAGGGGGGAAGTGATACTCCATGTATGTATAATATGTCAAAATATATTCTTCTGTGATTTTTATATAACTAAAAAGAACAAATAAAAAAATAAAAAAAAGAAGTGAAGGTTTTTCACAGTAACCCAGTTGAGAGAGAGGGGTGGGGGAAAGAGGGGTGGGGAGGGAGGGGGGAGGGAGGGAGGTGGGGGTATGTATGTTTATATATATTTTTTTAAGCAGGCACAAATGACAGGACTCAATTACTAAGCAGAAATTTGTGTCAGGTTAACTGGAATAGAAAATATGGGAGGAAGAGTTAGGAAGACTGTGATGGAGGTGAAACTCAAGACCCCTGAGAGTGCCTAAGGCTAGGCATTGTGGTACATACTGTAATCCCTGCTACTGAGAAGACTGAGGCTCAAAGCCATGACATTGTGACTATGTTCCTGGCCTTATGCTGGGATACAAAGACAAGGTCAGATCATAAAAAATACCTAAAGTTTGGATGGGGTGAAAGATAAACAGATGGATTTCAATGTAACAGGTGGCATGAAGTGAACTTTTCCAAAACCCATTTGGAAAGTTCAGGAGGGAATTCAGGGAGAAAGTCCAAAAACATAAGTTTGTGAAACAAAAATATTTAACTCACACCTATATGATCATATTTATATTTGTGTGATAGCTAAATCCAAGGCTATTCATGACACTGCACAGGAAAGTTAAGTAGGGGAGACCAAACCCAACAGAACACCAATATTTCAGAGGAAGACAGAAAAGGATAAAGAAGGCTTTAGAAGTTCCAAAAGAGAGGTAGGAGCCAAAGGAAGAGAAAGTTTCAAGAAAGATAAGTGGCCAAGTCAGAGGAGAACAACAAAAACAATAGAATTTGACAATCATATAACTGGAGACATCATCAAGAAAGGAAGAAAGATAAGAATCAGATTGCAAATATGTTTAAGAATAAACGGGCTGGGCATAGTGGTGCACGCCTGTCATCCCAGCGGCTCTGGAGGCTGAAGCAGGAGGATCTTGAGTTCAAAGTCAGCCTCAGCAAAAGTGAGGTGCTAAGCAACTCAGTAAGACCTTGTCTCTAAATAAAATACAAAATTGGGCTGGGATATGAATCAGTGGTTGAAAGCCCAGAGTTCAATTCCCAATACCCCCTCCCCAAATAAATAAATATATAAAAATAATAAATGGGCAGATGGGGCATGGTTGCACACATCTGCAATCCCAGCTACTTGGGAGGCTGAAGCAGGAGGATGGCAAACTTGAGGCCAGTCTGGGCAACTTGGTGAGACCCTGTCTCAAAAAATAAAAAGGGCTGAGGATGTAGCTCAGTGGTAAACCACCTCTCGGTTTAATACCCAGTATTGCACAGAAATAAAAAAAAGAAAGAAATTAATGAGAAGTCTATTCTTTCTGGAAGTTTTTGGTTATCAAGAGTGACATGTAATTTATTTGTGTGTGTGTATGTGTGTGTGTGTGTGTGTATCTATCTATCTATATACATATGTATATCTTGATGATTTCTCTCTTTCTCCAAATATACACAGACATCTATCTCTAAAATGACAAGCACGAACCTGCTGGAGTTTACAGCACAGCAGTAGACAGAGAAGGATGTAGGGCTAATGGTTTTTTTAAAGTTTATTTTCTCAATGTAAGAAAGAATTAAGAACATTTACATGCTAAAGAGAAAGAGCTTATTAAAAGGTCTAAGAGTAGTCAAAGGACTTGCTGATCAGGAACTTTCAATAACCATTATCTGCAAGACACTATATCACTACATATTTGAAAAGATAGTGAAAATGTTAATCCCTCCCTCCCTCCCTCCCTCCCTTCCTTCCTTCCTGTATTTTTTCCCCCTTTTTTGCAGTGCTGGGGATGCAACCCAGGGCCTCCCTTGAGCATGCTAGGCAACTCTACTAACTAATCTACATTTCCAACCCTCTGTTTGTTAAAACAATAAATAGATTTGGGTCACATAACTTGGATGATAGAAAGAGGTTCCTAAGTCCTCCTCCAGCCAACTTCACATCTTGCCACCCTCTTTTTAACTCATAGAGCAGATTCTGACTTGCTGAAAGTTTGCCTGGAGAAGATTTCAAAGTGTGGACTAGGGACCGGTAGTATAGGCATTACCTGGGAATTCGCTTTTAATACAAAATTTCAGGGACCAACCCAGATTTATTGAGTCAAAAAAGCATAGCTGCTGGTGCCAGCAATCTATGTTAACAAGTTATCCAGGTGATTTTGACACACACTAAGGACTGGGAACCACTGGTAAGGGAAGTGATTTCTGGAAGAGAAGCAACACCTGAGAGGTGACTGGCAGAAGTTGCTGGGCATGTGGAATGGGAAAAATCTGTAGTCTCCTGTTGCATCTGTTGGGAGGAGAGGCACATGATAGGGGGTGGGTGTCAACTCAATATTTAGCTTTTCAGTCTGTCAAAGCACATCACTTTAGACAAAATAAAGCACTGGCTTATCAAGAATTGCACATTTAAAACTCTGCTGATTCTTAAAAGTAAAAATTTAAATCTGGAAGAATTTTGGGAATTTTTTAGGAGATCAAGTAATACTATTTCTCACAAATTAAAAAAATCAGTAAGCTACGCATACATACCTGCTATTCCAAGATGGACTTTGAGAGTCTCTCCACCTTTCCTGTCTTCTTCCAGAGACTCAGATTCACCAGCAATTGGTATTGACATCGATGTAGAGGGAGGTCTGTAAATAAACATTTCTAAGAATCAGAGCCTGAAAGTCTGAAAACAGTTAAGGAATGCCTGTGTAGTCAGTACACAGCCTTGGTAAGCTGACTTGGAATGTTAGCTTTTGAGGGTGGAAATAATAAAAATCAACAAATAATGTATAAGCATCTCTTAAAAGCTTGGATGAAATTCATGGGGAAAAAGGTTTTTTTATACAACAAAATAAGTGAGAGTAGAAAGGGCACTGTCTGCATAAAGTCCTGAAAAGGGAGGATTCCCATAGCAGCGTGCACCCAGCATTGACAACGCAGGTGGGAGGCACCTCTGAGCCGATGAAGAAGGCACCAAGCCCCTCTGCATCTGAGGCTAGGAGATGACATCTTGCCTCCTGCCCACTAACCTCCTAACTAGTGTCCATGCTTTTTTTCTTCTACCTTTCTCTATGTAAATAGTTCACCTGATCCAGGAGAGTCAGTAGAGAGCCCTGATAGTTTATTTTGCTTTTGGGGCTGGATTCTCTGGGAGGTGATGGACCTCAGCTATTTTCCTCAGCTAATTCAGGGCTCCTCCTATTCCATGTAGAACTTGTGAAACAAGGAGGGACAGGTTTGAGTTTTAATAATTTTCTTTTTAATAGGGATTTTCATTATAAAACATCTCTAACCTTTTGAAGCTGATATTTCAGAGGAAAACAACAACTTCCTAGAAATTATACCATGGTGATCTGAGATAAAACTGGAAGATGACTGAAGGGATTGTGAAGCTGGCCCACTTTATGGTAATATTTAAATTCTTATTATCTCAATGGAATTCTCAGGTTATTTAGGTTTGGGGGATAAATTAAAGACTGCCATCATAAAGTGAGGCTGGATTTGGTCAGTGCATGCTTATGCATATATTGATATATCATACTGAACCTTATTAATCTGTATGATTAATACCTATTAATACAAAAAAGTGAAGATTGCCATCAAATCTTTTATTTTTATTTAAATTTTTTTTTTTTTTAGTACTGGGGATTAAACCCAGGGGTACTTAATCATTGAGCCATATCCCCAGCCCTTTTTTTAAAATTTTGAGACAGGATCTCCCTAGGTTGCTAAGGCTGGCCTCAAACTTTCTTCCTGCCTCAGCCTCGGGAGTCACTGGGATTATAGGCATGTGCCATCACAACAGGGTGATTGCCATCAAATCCATTTAACTTATAGACTGTTTTCAGCTGAGGATTTCCTAAATTACAGACTTATGTGCTCTACTGGGATGTTTACCAGGACTGGTCCAAGAACTGCATCAAACTCAATATATGCCCAGCTAAACTCTTCTCTGCCCAAAGCTGTTGTCTTCTTATATTCTCTCTCTGTGAATGCCATCAGATTCCACAAAGTCACCAAAACTAGAGTCCTGGATATTGCCTTTGTCTCCTTCCTACTATATTTCTATACCCAACCAACCTCTAAACCCCAGATTCCAATAGTTTTCCTAGTTATAATTTCTTCTTCATCATTGTGCCTTTTCCTGGGTGACTTTGAGAGTCTCCTAACTGGGTTCAGATCTCCACTCCATGCTTTCTGAAATGTGCCTTTGAACATTTTACTTTGTGATTTTAAACTTTTCAATGGCTCCTTTGGGATAAAGGTCAAGATCCTCAGAATGGCACATAAGAACCCTTTTCAGTTCTGCCCTGACCTACCTCTTTAATTAACAATTTTTTAAGTTATGTACATTTTTAAGTTTTGTATAAGGGCTTGATGAAAAAAAAACCCACTCTATATTCAATTTTTCTTTTTTTTTTGGGTGAAATTTAACTTATTTAACTATTAAAATATTTTTTTTTAAATTTTTTATTGTTGGTTGTTCAAAACATTACAAATTTCTTGACATATCATATTCCACACTTTGATTCAAGTGGGTTATGAACTCCCACCTTCACCCCATACACAGATTGCAGAATCACATCAGTTACACATCCATTGATTTACATATTGCCATACTAGTGTCTGTTGTGCTCCGCTGCCTTTCCCATCCTCCACCATCCCCCCTCCCCACCTCTCCCCTCCCCTCCCCTCCTCTCTCTCTACCCCCTCCACTGTATAACCCTGAGGGTCTCCTTCCATTTCCATGCAATTTCCCTTCTCTCTCCCTTTCCCTCCCACCTCTCATCCCTGTTAAATGTTAATCTTCTTCTCATGCTCTTCGTCCCTACTCTGTTCTTAGTTACTCTCCTTATATCAAAGAAGACATTTGGCATTTGTTTTTTAGGGATTGGCTAGCTTCACTTAGCATAATCTGCTCTAATGCCATCCATTTCCCTGCAAATTCTATGATTTTGTCATTTTTTAATGCAGAGTAATACTCCATTGTGTATAAATGCCACATTTTTTTTATCCATTCGTCTATTGAAGGGCATCTAGGTTGGTTCCACAGTCTTGCTATTGTGAATTGTGCTGCTATGAACATCGATGTAGCAGTGTCCCTGTAGCATGCTCTTTTTAGGTCTATATTCAATTTTTCATGGGAAAAACTAATATGTAGAAGATGCATAAAAAGAATGGAGTCTTTACTCACAGTCATTAATCATCGATGGCTGACTCATTTCTGCATGACCAAATTCTTATCTTTTTGTTGTTATTGTTCTTTTTAGTTATATATGACAGTAGAAATTCTTATCTTTTTAATTCCAGTTGCTTCATTTTCCCTTTCACAGGTGACCTGTTTATAGTGTCTCTATCTCTCTAGCTCTTGGACCTGTTTCCAATCCTTCAGAACTCCCCAAATTTGGCTTCGTCTCTATCAGTCTCCTCTGGCTCTACTCTTGCCCATCCAGCTCAATTCCACAGCCCGGCACTTTGAGCAATACCTCAATTTGGTACCCCTTGTTCTGCGGCCTCAGAAAACCTGAGGAACCCTAACTCTTGACAATGTCAGTCATCTGTACTAACTACTCAAAAATTGGGACAATTAAGCATTATGGAGAAAATTCACTGACCCTGGGGATTGATAGTACAGCAAATTAGGAATCTAAAGTCTTGCTGAGTGTGGTAGTGCATGCTTATAATCTCAGTGATTTTGGAGGCTGAGGTAGGAGGATTGCAAGTTTGAGGCCAGTAATTTAGCAAGATCCTGTCTCAAAAAAATAAAAAGAGCTGGGGATGTATTTCAGTGATAACACACTCCTAGGTACAATTCCCAGTTCTAAAAATGAAAACAAAAAATACACAGGGCCAAAGGTATGGCTCAGTGGTAGTGTTTGCTTAGCATATGCAAGGCCCTCGGTTCTGTCCCTAGTACCTTCCTCTGCTCCAATAAAGAATATGGAGAGGAGAGTAGTGTAGGGGATGACCTCCTATAATGACAATACTTTTCCATGAGACATTCTATAAATATGCCATGTGCTATAATGATGCTAAGAAAACTGCCTTCTCCTCTTGAAATGTCTCTACCCACCTCCTGTGCTTAATGAGTTCCTATTCATCCTTCCAAACTCAGCTCAGTGTTATTCCATCTCAGTGAAAGATTTCCCAGGCTTTCAAGGAACAGTGATTAGGATCCCATTACATCATATGCCATGTTTAAGTCTCCTAAATCAGCAGTGAATTCAGTCATAGCAGGGACCCATCTGTCAGCATGGGGTAGGTAATCAACGCAATCAATGAGTGGTTCCTGAGACTCTGGACAAATTAGTTGCTTAAACCTGAGTCCCAATGCCCTCCCTCAAAAATATGCATGACACATCACAAAGCTGTTTCAAAAATTAAATTGAGAGACTGTAACATTTGTGAAATTATTATGACAAATGGTAAGCCCCTTTTTTTCTAGAATACGAATGCGTTAGAATCATACCATTCAAGAGTTTCATCATTCCTAATCTTCTTTATCACCAGATTATTCTAGTATAGTATGCAATTTCTCACTCAAAATATACTTTTTCTTCATCAGCACTTTTCAGAAAAATTATACAATCTATGTTACAGATATTCTGTTCATAAAATATTAAAACTAGAATTTAAATTTGATGATGCCAAGCTTGACTTGTTTTCTTTTCTCTTTTTTTTTTTTTTCTTTTTGGTGGTGCTAGAGAACAACCCCAGAACCTCACATATACTATGCAAGTGCTTCACCACTGAGCTATCCCTCCAGCCCTGCTGTACTCTTATTAGTTTTTCTAGTATATTCTAAAATTTTGACATCATGAAAAACTTTAGACAAAAGCAGTGAGAAGAGTTGAATGCATCACTCCAGCAGTTATTTATATGTTTGCTTTACACAAAGATACTTGGTTGTCCCTCAATTCCTCTGTGCCTTAATTTCTTCATCTGTTAGGTGACAATTTGGATTATATTAATACTTTTAAAAATTGTACATATTTAAGGGGTACAGTGCAGCAATTTGTTACATGTATACAATGTGTAATGAGCAAATCAGGGTAATTATCATTTCTACCTCCTTAAACATTTCATTTATCATTTCTTTGTCTTATGAACTTCAGAACTCCTTTCTTCTAGCTCTTTATACAAGATATAATAAATTGTTGTAAACTATATTCACCCTAATGTGCTGCAGAACACTGGTACTCATTCATCCTAACTGTATTTTGGTGCCTATTAATCTGACCTTCCTCTATCACCCTTTCCACTTACTCTTCTTGGCCTCAGGTGACCACTCTTCTACTCTCTACTTCTATGAATGTACTTTTTAAGTTTCAACATATGAGTGAGATATGGGTACCTGGCTTATTCCATAACATTCTCCATGTTCCATCCATGGTGCCACAAGTAACAGGACTTCATTCTTTTTTAATGGCTGAATGATATTTCATTGTGGATATGTACATTTTTTTTAACCATTCACCCACTGATGAACACCTCAACTGATTCCCTGTCTCATCTATTGTGAATAGTTCTGTAATAAACATAGGTGTGTAGGTAGCTTTGATGTATGATTTCATTTCCTTTGGATATACCCAGTAGTGGGATAGCTGGGGCATATATACCAAATTTTCCCCCTACTATTAAGAATTGAACCCAGGTGTGCTTTATCACTGAACTACATCCTCAGCTTATTTATTTATCTACTTTTGAGAGCAGGGATTGAATGTAGGGGGCACTTAACTACTGAGCCATATCCCCAGCCCTTTTTATTTATTATTTTGAGACAGGTTCTCACTAAGCTGCCGAAGCTGGTCTCAAACTTGTGATCCTCCTACCTCAGCCCCCCAAGTCGCTGGGACTAGAGGCATGCAACAAAGCCATTTATACCAATGTTTTAAAAACTGGTTTTTTGATGCTCCCAAAGAGATTCTGGGAATATGCAAGGGAGAGTACTCAACAGATCTTTTTTTTTTTTTTTTTTGTTTTCTGTTTGGTGCTGGGGATTGTTCCCAGGGCCTTGTGCACTATAGAAAAGTGCTCTACCACTAAGCTTTACTCCCCAACCCCCTGCTTATTCTCATGCTTATTACCAAAGTCTTTATAAACTCTATATTGTCAGAATTATCTTTGTAGAGATAATACAGAACATCAGAGCATCTATGTTTGAGCTCTTTTATATGGGAGTTTCCTAAGTAGAGAAGTAAAATGCAAAGTAAGGGCCAGAAAGGTTCATAAAAGGTTCACAGGAAGGAATAATGAATTCATTTTCTTTTATTAGGTTTTGCTGCTCATTTTCTTATTTAACCCTAAACTGATTCCACTAGAAAAACAAATTGTTTTTCTGAGAGAATAAAAATAGTATAGCAAAAACTGTTTAATCCTAAGAGAACAGTAAATAATGAACCAGGAACTTATGGCTTGTGAGAAAATAGAAGTTATAGCAAAATGTATAGTTTTTTTTTTGAACCCAGGCATACTGTACCACTGTGCTATATCCCCAACCCTTTTAAAATTTTTTGAGACAAAGTCTTGCTAAACTGCTGAAGCTGGCCTTGCACTTGAGATCCTCCTGCCTCAGTAGCTGAGTAGCTGGGCTTACAGGTGTGTGTCACTGCACCTGGCTCTATAGGTATAATCGAGAATAGATTCGTATTAAAATACATATTTTCATCTTTACAAAACAGTGTGAAACTAGAGAACTATACGGACAATACTTCCTAAGTTATAGTAGGAGCCATTAAAAACACAAATTTGATATATAGTGTAGTAAATGCTTACTTTCTAAGTATGTTTTTCTTAGATGTTTAAATAATATCTAATCAATTTTCATTTATAATTAATAAGTGTCTTCAAGCTTGCTGACAGGCAATCCTACTGCATTTCCCAAGTTCACCTCACAATCTAAGACTTTAACAATCATTTTCCTTTTTCTGCATACCCCCACCCTGTCCTTGCTGTAATGATCATTCTGTTTCCTATTTTACTATGAAACCAGAAGCAGTTAGACAGGAACTTCCATCTGCTTCCACATATCTGCATCAACAGCCATGTTCCCTGCCCTCATTTTGATAGTCCAAGGACATTGTCCCTTTTCTCTTTCCCATCACTGGTTTCTCCCTCTTTATTGGGCCAATCCCATTGGCTGTACTAGCTCCCATTTTTAAAAATAAATAAAATCCGCCCCACCCCATATCTTCTCTTTACTTATGACCCCATCTTTTTATTCCTTTTTTTCCCAGCAAAATTCCCCAGAAGTGTTGTTTATATTCGCTGTTTCCAATTTTCTCACAAACTCTCTTGAACCCATTCTGAAAAGGCTTTAGCATTCTACCAAAATTCTTGTTAAAGTCATCCACGTCTCTAGATGCCAAATCAGTCCTCAGATTCTGAGACCTACTGCTGCAGTATACCCCCCAGCTGGCTGCACCTCCTTTCTGGCCACTTTCTTCACTGGGTTTTCAGGAAGTGCTCTCCTTTGCTTCCCTCCTCTTTGCTCACTGCTTGTTCCTTTACTGGTTCTTCCCATCTCCCCAACCTCTACATGCTGGAGTGAGTGTCTCACACTATAACTATGGCCCTTTCCTTATCTGTATTTATACTCAGTCCATTTAGATCATTTTACTAAGCCTCGTGGCTTTAATTACTATCTGTATGCTGATGATATAATGATTTCCAGTTTATGCCTGCAGCCTGTCAATATATCCACCTGCCTATTTAACTCGCCCTGCTGGGGATTAAACAGGGTTCTCAAACTTAACATGTCTAACGCCCAAGCTCCCAGTTGTTCCTCTTGTGGTTTTTCAGTAAGTGAAAACATTCTTCCTGCTACTCAGACCCCAAACTTTGGACTATTGATTCAGTCTAATTATCTACCTGTTTTGGTACCCTCCAGTGCTCCCTCAAATTGTCTGTTCTCCACCTAGTCGTCCTAAGCCAGATAGTTGTACTCCTTGCTTGAAACTTCTATTACCTTTTTTTTCCCCCTCCTAGTACTGAGGATAAAACCCAGAGCCTTGTGTGTGCTGGACAACTGCTCTATCACTGAAATATATCCCTAACACATTTTATTTTTAATTTTGAGAAAAGGCCTAAAATTGTTCAAACAGATCTTAAATTTGCAATCTTCCTGCCTCAGTCTCCAAGTAGCTGGGATTACAGGTACGTGCCACCATGTCTAACCTCCATTAGATTTTTTTTTTTGGGGGGGGGGCACTGGGGATTAAACCCAGGAGTGCTTTACCACTGAGCTACTACATCCCCAGCCCTTTTTATTTTTTGAGACAGGATCTCACTAAATTGCTTAGGGCCTCACTAAGTTGCTGAGGCTGGCCTTAATCTTGTGATCCTCTTGCCTCAATCTCCTGAGTTGCCAGAATTACAGGTGTGTGCCATCAACCTGGCTTCCATTAGCTTTTTATCTCAGAGTATAAGTAGAGTTCTTAATATAATGGCCTGCAAGATTCTATCATTTGACTTTACCTCTTATTACCCTCCTTTTTATTCACTCTGATCTAGATGTACTGGTCTCCTGGCAGTCACTTAAACATGCCAAGAACACTTCTCTCTCACAGCTTTTCGCCTTGTTCCCTCTACCTCAAATGCTCTTTCCTTAAATATCTGCATGACTTGCCTCCCATCCCCTTCAGGTCTCTACTCAAATATCATCTTGACTAGGGAGTCTGTTCCTGACTACTTGGTATAAAATAGCAGACTCACTCTCCACTATGGCTCTGCTACCTGGCTTTATTTTTCATCAAAGTAGTTATCATCATGCTTATATATATTTACTTAAGTTTTGTTATTTGTTTTCCTCTTAACATATGAGTTCCAAAATGGCAATGACTGCCAGGTGTGGTGGCACATGCCTGTAAACCAGTGACTTGGGAGGCTGAGGCAGGAGGACTGGAAGTTGGAGGCCAGACCCAGCAACTTAGTGAAGCTCCAAGAAACTAAGATCCTGTCTCAAAATAAAAAGTAGAAAGGGTTGGGGACATGGCTCAGAGTTTAAATAATCTTGGGTTCCATCCCTGGAAACCAAACCAAAACAAAATGGCAGTGACTTAGTCTATTTTGTTCAATGCTGTTTCCGTAGGGTGTAAGATAGGGTCTTACCATTTAAACAAATCTCTGCTATACTATCAGAGAAGTAACTCATTTATTGGACATCAACTTACGTTTTAAAACATGGGTCACCAGACATCAGCTGCATACTGATCAAAACCTAAACAAGAAATATCATAAGAACAAGAAATATCATAATTAGAAAATATTTCTCAAGAGCAAAGCTATGTATGATGAATCTTTCTTTCCCCCACACTATGAAGCCCATTATTTTCTACTTATAAAGCATTAGATAAAATGATAGTCAAATTGATTGCACTCAATATTAAATTACTGCTTTATATAGATAAAAAATCAAAAATAATTTTAAACATTCAAATTCATAATTACAAAAAATCAGATCAGAAGAGATGAAAACAAAAGCAAGTGATTCTCTAGTAACAATCCTTCTTGTGAGTGTGTGGCTGTGCTCATCTAGTTCATGTCTTCACTCCCAGACTCCTGTGCTGCTTAAGAGTCTGCTGGTGGCTTCTCAAGAGAGCTTCTGGCCTCTGCTTTAGGTCAGGATTTAGAGCTTTTCTTCTTTCTTGAAATGCTTTTCTCTGGGTGCTGATTACTTTTTAAGAATCACCCAAAGGACTATTTCACATTCTTATGGGACTAATAATGGTAATAAAAATGATGTTAAAATGGTCATTATTTGAGAATTTATCATGGGACAGGCATAAGCTAAAGGTTTTACATGTAGCATTTCATTTAATTTTTAATACTCCCATGAGAAAGTGATACTCTCATTTTAAGCTCAAAGAGATTTATATTTTCAAGATCATGGAGCTGGCAAAGGGAAGAGCTGAGGTCTTAACCCAGGACTGCATAACCCAAATTCAAGGTCTTAATGAATAATAAGATATGAATATATTATTACATGTTTTCCAGTTAATGGCTAACATGTATCTTTTATAACCTTATTTCATTGAAAACTCTTCCCTCAGTGCATCCATTACTATTCCTCTTTTCCTTAAATGTCAAACATAACCTTCCTTATCACCTCTTCTTTCTTACAATTCCATCAAGATAGCACTCTTGAATATCCTGAATGTCTCAGGAAGAAGATGGAGATGACACAGACATCTTTTAAGAAACTGTATAGTGCGGAAGAACAGAGAAGGCAGTAGCTGGAAGAGATGAGGAGCTGGTTTGTGTCTGCTTTTTAAAATATGGGAGGGCTGGGTGTAGCTCAGTGGTAGGGTACTTGCCTAGCAAGCACCAGTCCCTGAGTTCTGTCCCCAGTACCACACACACAAAGGGAGACAGATAAAGAACTGTTTCTTTATACATTGATAAGAATGGATCCTTAGAACAGATGCTTAAGAGAGGGAATAATCCAAGGAGAAAACCCCTTGATTAGGTAAGATTTAGATTCTAGAGGCTGAGAGGAGGGATGAACTTCTGACACTTGCTATAATAGAGGGCGAAAAGGATAGTGAGTCTGGAGAGACAGGTAGAATTGTAAGTTTTTGATGGGAAAATAAGGGCATTTGAATGTAATGACTTCTATTTTCTTAATAAAGGATAAGACAAGGGCATGAGCTGAGGGCAAGAGTGGTATATAAAGGTACAAGGAGAAAGAAGGTATGAAAAAGAATATATAAAATTGGGAAAGATATGAAAATAGGCTAGAGCTCAGTGGAATAGAGAAAGGGAATTGAGGGGGAAGGAGGAAGGATGGGAAAAGGGAGGAGTGGTGGAATGAATCTGACCAAAATTTCCTACATACATACATGAATATACCACAGTGAGTTTTACCTTTATGTATATCCATAGTGCACTAATTTTAAAAAAAGCTACAAATAGATAAGTAGAGTACAGGAAGGGGAACAAGAGGAGGGAGGAGAGGAGGAGTTGTGCTCAGGAGTGAATTGGAGTAAATTGTACTTCATTTTGTATATTTATACCAAAATGAACCCTAATATTATTTATATCTATAATGAACTAATAAACAAAAAAGGAAGAAAATATAATTCTAAGACATTGGTGCTAAATAAAGAGGAAAGAAGTGGTGGAGGCAATCCATAAATAGAATGTAGAATACACAGAATCAAGAACACAAATTTAGAGACTATTTTTGAAAAGAGGAGGGATTAATTGATTAGAGGAAAGGAAAGAAAGGAGTTAGCTTGGTAATTTTGGGAGTTAACGAGGAGGATACTTAAGAGCTCACTTCAGATGGCTTCACTATATTTACCTTCAAACCCCAAATTAGATTATTGCTGCTCCAGGATTTATTGGAAGCAAGAGTGAGTGATAGAGCTGGGATCAACTTCAGGCACTCATTTCTCCTCTCCATAAATAACAGGTATTCAGAATAGATTCATGTGGATATGTAGGAATTAGCACATCCCCCCCCCCTTTTAATACCAGGGATTGAACCCAGGGTTGCTTAGCCACTGAGCCACATTCCCAGCCCTTTTTATTTTTTTATTTTGAGAGGGTCTCACTAAGTTGCTGAGGGTGGCTTGCTTTAGTCTCCCAAGCTGCTGGGAAATTGGTGTGTGCCACTGTGCCTGGCTAGCTTTGTTTTTAAAGATAGTTAATTTTTCCATAAGATAATTATTTCATAAAAAGCCTTTTTTTTTAAAAAAAAAACATCACACTGGTAATGTGCTGATGTCACAACAAGGGTTAGAAGGAGGCACATCTCACACTACAGCATGAACACCCAATCATCGTACTTATGAACTGAAAAGGATCTAAAAATCCTTTAAAGACAGACACAATAAACCAAAACAGTTAAACTAAGTTTGGATACAAAAGAAATTATTGAGTTCTTCCCTTTAGTAATGAAATTCTTATTTTTAGTGAACACTGTACTGATTTTGAAATATAGTAGCTATTAATAATTAATAATTGTGATGATTCAGTTTACTTTTTCCTTGTTGACAACCATATTTCAATAAAGAAAGTTTATTATGCATTTTAAAAAATTGGGAAAGGAAGTAGAATACGACTGTGGGTTGGCTGTGAACGTGACTTCAGTAATGGCCGATAGCCTGGTTACGTGTCTTTTCCAGCAAGTAGGGGAAGATAGACAGCTGAATTCAATAACTGTTGGAGATTACTTAAGGGAGAGCCATAGACTTAGGTGCCAGGAGTATTAGGACTATGATACTTATGAACCATGGAATCTAAAATGGATCAAGATGGAAGGGAAAGGAAGTGGGAGCTGATAATAGTGAGAAAGTGACAAAGTGAGAAAGTGGTGGTGCTGAAGATAGCTAAGTGAGTAAACCAAAGGGGCTGGGCGCATAGGAGAGAGTGGGAAGAGAGGGGAAAACTTCAAAATGAAAATTTGGAAGTGGTAAAGTTTCTAGTGATAAGAAAGCCTAAAGCCAGGCACACACCTCTAATTCTAGCTACTCAGGAGGCTGAGGCAGGAGGATCCCAAGTTCAAGGCGAATGTGGGTAATTTAGTCAGATCCTTCTTCAAAATAAAATTTAAAAAGGGCTGGGGATATAGTGATAAAGCATGCATGGGTTCAATTCCCCCCAGCCCCAGGGGAAAAAAAAAAACAACAAACAACAACCCAGAAAGTGATCATGGGAGTAAGAATTGAGAGGAGGAAGAAAATGTTGCTGGAAATAGGCAGTTTAAGGAAAGGAGGGTCTTAGGCACATTTAAGATCAGCTATTAGAAGAGAATATACATACACAACACATCCACAAAGATAGCTCTCAAAAATGAAAACAGGAAAAGGGATAAAGAGAAAACCTGTGAGCTTGAAGCTATATCACCAATGAATAAGAGAGAAGGTGACTAGGTAGTTAGTAGACATCAGCAAGGGAGGGAGAGTTACAGATAACTGGTGTGACCTTCAAAAAGGTGTGTTTTGTAAGACACAGTGGGAGAAATGGTGCAGAAGAATCACTGGGAACCAGAAGGAACCACTCTATGAGCTGATGCTAAGGAATGTGAAGCTCTGAAATTACAGTTATTTCCCTCTCCAATGAAAACAGTATAATTCAGAGACAGACTTCATGAAATATAAGTAATAAAATGAATACAATGAATTTAAAGGCCACTGACCAGCTATCAGAAGCCATGCATTCTGGCCTCAGGTCTGCCACCGACTACTTCTGTGATACATTTAAGTGAGTCTCAGTGTCTTTATCTACAAAGAGGGAAATCTTCCCTATCTACCCAATCCTGCCTATCCCATAGAGATATTTCAGAGTTAACCATAAAACTATGGAACCAACATAAAGCTTATAGCATGATGCTTTTCTAATTTCTTTTTATCTTCTTTTACCATATTAATTACCCATATTAATTACTCCATATTAATTACCCATCTTATCTTATATTAATTACTCCATATTAATTATCCATCTCATCTTTCTTTAAAGCTGCTAAACTCATGTGAGGGATGGACTGACAATAAAAACCATTTCATGGGCTGGGATTGTGGCTCAGCAGTAGAGCGCTTGTCTCGCACAGGCGGGACCAGGGTTCGATCCTCAGCACCACATAAAAATAAAGGCATTGTGTTGTGTCCATCCATACCTAAAAAATAAATATTAAAAAGAATAAAAATAAAAACCATTTCATGAATTTTTATATTTTTAGAGTCAAATATTTATTAAAAACAAAGTTTGGAAACTATAGGTATAAGATCATTCTTTGCTGCACTAACTTCTGAATAAAAAGCATCCAGTTTCTATTTAAAAGTATTTCCTTTTCTTCTTATTAGGTAATTTACCACATTGTGAAGCAAGAAACTAAAATACAGCAAATGGTTTATCCTATGTCTTTTATTAGGCACAAGATACTTTCCAAATATCTTTTCAATGGATCTTATTTAGTATTTTGTTTAACACTGTGAAGTGTATAGTCTCTCAAGTGTTTACCAGAACATGTAGTTCCTGATAGTACTTGGAAAAAATAGGGCAGATGCTCAGAAGTGGGTTTTTCCTATCACTCTCCTAGTTACAAGGAAACCCTGCGATGGTGATGAATCTATCACAGTTGCTTTGGAAATCATTTTTTGGGAGCTATAAGCATTTTAAGGTATCTATCCATTCATTGTGCTCCTTCCTCCCAATGAGCACTTGTGTTGTAGTAGTCTGTTTGTGTTCTTCTCTGAATCTTGCAGCATGACAAGAAACACATTAAGGTCACAAAGGTAAACTTTGTTACTTTTCACTGCTTTTGTGATTTGGATAGTTTTCCCCCTTCATGGTGAGTATTTCGGTGGTGTGGTCAGCTTATGATTTCAGTACTGATTTACTTCTTGTCTTTGACAGTGTATACCTCTGCTTATTTAAAGGTAGAGACTCTCATTTGTCAGCATGTCAATCTGGGTGCTTACTTTAAGAATGGAATTATCCTGCCTTGTATTTTTGGTATCATAGCCTTCCAGTAAACAGCGACGAGTGGTATTTCCTGATCCAGCAAACTCTGCCAGGTTTAGATCTGCAAAGCCCAGCTATGAAAAGAAAAAGAATTATATTAATAGAATATCTAGTAGGCTTCTATCACATTCTGTCATATTTTCTTTAAAATAAATATTCAGTCATGCTCTAAACAAGTTTTCTCAAAATTTGGTCCTTTGCAATTTTTGCCATTTTAACAACTCCTATTCGATTATTTGCTTTATACGTGCCCTTAAATTGGTTGGCTTTTTAATAAAAATGTATTACCTATTCTTGTCTTAAGCAAGATCTCCAATATCATAGACTTGATGTGCTAAATATTTTTTCGGGTATACATTAAAATAAATACATTTCTGTTGTAGTACAACTAATGCATATCAAACAAATAACATCACTGCAAGTAGCAGTGACACACCACACTGGGAAATACTATCACAGCAACAATAATCATTTGCATATAAATAGAGAAAAATGATCGGAATCCCCTCTATTCTGGTTCTTGCTCTATGGAAGAGCTAACCACTGGTAACTGCACATAGTTGCAGATTAAAGTTCTCACTCTGTGCAAGTAGTAGGATGATTTAAATGAGCTACACACTTTCTTTGGTACAAACCTCTTTTATCCTCCCATCCTTCACAACATTTGCCTTGTTGATTGTCCTTATGGAAACTTTCCCTCCCTTTCTTATAGTTTTGGCTTACATTCACCCTCTCTGCTGATACCTAGAAATATAGTTCAAACCTGTTGCTCTTTTTTATTACCACCCCGGTGTTATGGTTTGGATATGAGGTGTCCTCCAAAGCATTCATGTGTTGGGCAGAGATGAAATGACTGAATTATGGAAAGTGTAACCTCATCAGTGGATTAATTCATTTGATGGACTGATGATCTAGTGAACTCTGGAAGTAAGTGAAAACAGGTGGGGTGTGGTGGAGGAAGGGGGGATTATGTCTTGTCCCTCACTCCCTACCCTCTCTCTCTCCTTTCTGGCTGTCGCGAGCTGGGCATCTTTCCTCTACCACATTCTTCATCTTTTTCTTCTTCTTTTTTTTGGTACTGGGGATTGAACCCAGTGGCACTTAATCACTCAGTTCTTTTTATTTTTTGAGACAGGGTCTTGCTAAGTTCCTTAAGGTCTCACTAAATTGCTGAGGCTGACTTTGAACTTGTGATCCTCCTGCCTCAGATCCTGGAGTCACTGGGATTGCAGGCGTGAGTCACCATGCCCAGCTACCATGTTCTTTTGCCATGATATTCTGCCTCACCTAGGTCAATGGAGTTGGTCAGTGATAGAACAAATCTCTGAAATCATGAGCCAAAGTGAACTTTACTTCCTCTTAGTTATTGCCGACAGGTATTTTGGTTACAGTGAAGAAAAGCTGACTAACACAACAGGTTTGGTGCTCATTTCTTTTGCAGTTACCAAAGGTTGCTCTACAGTCCTTCTTCTGATGTTGCTCTATCCTATCCCATCTCTGACAGGCAAAACAAATGAATCCCATTATTATGTCATTATTTCCTGAATACACTGTCTTGCCTCATATGACTATGTATATGTAGAATCTTTTATTATTATTGTTATTTTAGTACTGGGGATTGAACCCAGGGGTGCTTTACCATTGAGCTACCTCCCCAGCCCTTTTATTTTTTATTTTGAGATAGTCTCACTAAGTTGCTTATTGCCTTACTAAGTTGCTGAGATTACAAGGGGTGAGCCACCATGCCTGGCTTAATCTTTTATTAACAAAAACATGAATTGAACAAGCACATCTCTGTGAACCTATAATAAAATGCACTATACATTTCAAACCCTGTTGAGATTGTTTGCTTTAAGGCTTTAAAACAGTGGCACATATAAATGGCATTCAAGATGAAATTTAATTAATTAATTTAGTGGTATTGGGGATTGAACCTAGGGGTGCTCTACTACTGAGTTACATCCCCAGACCTATTTTTAATTTTTTATTTTGAGATGGGTTCTCACAAAGTTGCTGAGGCTGGCCTCAAATTTGCAATCCTCCTGACTTAGCCTAATTAGGACTACAGGCATTTACCACTGCACATGGCTGAGATGAATTTTTTAATTGAAGACTGAAGCATTATTTTAGTAGCTTTTAAGGAAGAATGAAGAGTAAGAACCTAGAGTATAGCTGAAGGGCCAAATGCAGTAAGTTAGGTGCACAATCAAGTTACAAGTAACATATACCTCATTTTTATATGAGTATGCTCTGGTCTTATTGCCTTTTCCGGGCCAACAAATCAGCAGAAAAAGTCTGGATTTATCCAGGACAAAACAATATCCAATTGAGCATATGCAGATGCATGTGACTTATTTGATGACACATTATTAACACACCCTATTTCATATATTACCCTTTTCTTTAAACCTCCAACACCTCTTTCCTGTCTTCTCTCTGCCAATCACCTTGCTTCCTATTTCACTCAGAAAATAAAAGCAATCAAAAGAGCATTTCACTTCCACAAGCTCTTACTACCGGCCACATCCATTCTCCTACCTGCCCTTGTGCTCTGTATTTGCCTACCCACTTACAGTGCTGAGATGAACTGGCTGTATTCCTAAGGCCAACTGCTCTCCTCCTACCTACCTGACATCATTTTAGCAGTTCTTTATGCTCCTTGGCATTCTAAAATTTCCTTTCTCTTCTGAGTCATTCCCATCAGTATACAATTACATTGGATTTTCTCCTATCTTTCCTTTGTATGGGGGTACTGTTAGGGATTGAACCCAGGGTCCCTCTACCACTGAACTACATCCTCAGCTCTTTTTTGGGGGGGCGTGTACCAGGGATTGAACTCAGGGGCAGTCAACCACATCCTCAGCCCTATTTTGTATTTTATTTAGAGATAGGGTCTCACTGAGTTGTTAAGCACCTTGCCGTTACTGAGGCTGGCTTTGAACTCTAGTTCCTCCTGTCTCAGCCTCCTGAGCCACTGGGATTACAGGCATGTGCCACCACGCCTGGCCCAAGCTCTTTTTATGTTTTCTTTTGAGACAGGGTCTTGCTAAGTTGCTGAGACTGATCTCAAACTTGCAATCTTCCAGCTTCAGCCTTCTGAGTCTCTGGTGTATGCCTATCTTAATGAACAAAACAAACCAAAATCTCCTCTCTCTCCAGAATACTGGATCATTTTTCTGTCTCTGTTCAAACAACTACAAAACTCCTTGAACAAGCTGTCTACATGGTCTCTGATTCCTCTGTCCTAGGACAACTTCACTTCCTCCCTCTCTCCTTGTCTTTGGTCTACAAGCCACAATGTCCTGTTCTTTGAAAACATCAAGATCACTTCAAGGCCTTTAGCTTTTTTTTTTTTTTTTAAATTTTTGGCCTGGGAAACTGTCACATGGTCTTGTAGCTTTCTCTTTCACTGCACTCATGTCAGTGTTCAAATGTCATCTCTCTAAGGAGCCTTCCCTGGCTATCCTGAAATATGTCCCCCTTTCCTCCCTTCTCCTAAAGTTTTTGCCCTCGGCCCCTATGTGCTCTGTTTTCCTCCTTAGTTGTTATATCATGTCCACATACATTTCATACTTATTTTGTTGTCTGTCCTCCCCCATCTCTGTCACCTCCAATTAGAATATAAGTTTCATTAAAGGCAGGGATTTTTGTGTGTTTTGCTAACCGCTGTATCTCTAGTACCTAGAATAGTGTCAGCAAAAATGTCTGGCACATGGTAGGCACTTAACAACATATTTACTGAATGAAAGACAGCTTACTGACTTACCACCCACTGTAATAATACTAGTATTACATAGTCACTAAGTTGGAAAAAACCTGATCTGTCTCTGTTATGAACTACATGTTTGTGTTTCTCCAAAATTCACATATTGAAACCCTAATTACCAAAAAGATGGTATAAAGTGGTGGGTCTCTGGAATGTAATTAGGTCATGAGGGTGAAGCTTTGGTGATGGGGATCAAACCTAGGGCCTTGCACATGCTAAACATGTGTTTTACCACTGAGTTGTACCCCCAATCCTAAATTAATGTCCCTTTAAAAAAGGTAGAAAAAACTGGGCACAGTGGCACACACCTATAATGACTTGGGAGGCTGAGGCAGGAGGATCAATTTAGCAATGCCCTAAGCAACTCAGTGAGACCCTATCACAAAATAAAAAGTAAAAAGTGCTGGGAATGTAGCTCAGTGGTAAAGAGCCTCTGGATTCAATAACTAGAAGTAAAAAACAAAAAACAAAAAAACAGACAGGAAAGAGTTTGCTTCCTCTTTGCACTCTGCCATGAGAGGCCATATGCAAACTAGGAGGTGGGCTCTCATGAGATACACGACATCTGTCAGAATTTTTTTTTTCTTTCTTTTTTTAATGGTAGAACACCCACTTTACCTCTGAGCTACATCCCTAGTCTTTTTTTTTTTTTTTTGTGTGTGTGTGTGTGTGAGAGACAAGATTTCACTAAATTGCTGAGGCTGGCCTTGAACTTGCGATCCTCCTGCCTTCTCCTGAGTTATTGGGATTATAGGTGAGGAACACTGCACCTGGCTCTGTAAGAATCTTGATCTTGGACTTTCCAGTTTGTAGAAACATGAGAAATGAATGTCTGTTGTTTAAGTCACCCAATCTATGATAATATATTAAAGCATCCCAAACTAAGATCCTACTCCCTATTAAAACAGTTAAAAGATGGAATATGTTAGTGTATGATGTTTTAGGCTGAAGGGTATCAATGAATAGTTCAATATTTATTGAGTATCTTTTATGTCCCAGGCCCTGTTCGAGACACAGGAAATAGTAGAGAATAGCAGAAATACTATGCCTTCAAAGAACTTACATTCTAGCAAGGGACCAAAGAGCCCATACTCTCTTATATCTTTTTCTCTGGCTTCACTAAGATGAATAATTCACACATGAGAATAATACGTAATAATACACGTACACATACACAAGCTGTATATATGTGGTAGATATTAATTTATTCAGAAAATAATTTTCAGCATTTAAATTCCAGGTAATGTTAGTAATTGGGAATAGAGACTTTTTTTTTTTTTTTTGGGTGGTGCTAGGATCAAACCAGGGCCTCGTGCATGCTAGGCAACTGTTCTACCTCTCAGCCTTTATAAAATCATTCTTACTCTCATAGATTAAAGTGGGAAAACAGAAAAATAAAAAATTCCTACAATATTGTGTGACAAGTGTGGTGATAGAGGAAGACACAGCTACAAATAAGAAGAAAAATTCTCAGTGGAGTAGGATGACTAAGCTGAGTCTTTAATGATACGTGAGTTGACAGGATAAGGGGAGGGAGAAATACATGCATAGTAAGGACACCATCAAGTCACAAGGCAAAGAAGCTAAAATAGCATAAGACCCTCAGGAAGTTTATGACGGCAGAATGTCTCATAAGGATGGGTGGTTGTGGAGGAAGGAAAGTAGCAGAAATAATTTGCAAACCAAAATGGGTCTTACATGCTAGGTTATAGAACTCTAAATTTTCTTTAGAAGCAAAGAATAACTTGCTGAAGGACTGAAAGTGGGAGAATGATATGATTATGTTTTAATTTTAGAAAGACAACTCTGGCAGAGGATTTAGGAAGACGACAGAAGCAAAGAAACCAGACAGGAGGCCAACACAGACTGCAAATAAGAAATAATGAAGGCATAACCCAAGGCAGTGGTCTTGACAGTAGATAGAAGGTATAGCTTCAAGCTTTTCAGAAGGAAAAAAAAATCAAGAGGATTTATCAGCCATCACAGACCTTGTTTGCCTGCCCAACATTCAATGCCCTGCTATTCCTTGATAGCAAAGCCTTGATTGTATTCAGGTGTCCACTCTCCTGAGTTCATCCATGTGCACAAGAAAAGTAACCCAGTCCTACCTCATTACTAAACTATGGTTATTCTAAGATAACCATGGCAATCCATTCCTATAGCCACAGATGGCATAGGGGTGAGCATACGACCCTCTTCTGGCCAGTTACAAGTATGGGAAAATCCTCTGAGGGCCATGTAGGGAAAGTTTTCTCATTAAAAAGAAGCAATGCATGGAGAAGCAGTTGAATTCTGTCAAAAGTGAATGTGCTCACTATAAGTTGAGCAGCCAGACACCCAGTGTTCAGGAGAGGAGCTAGCCAAGAACAAAGCCATCGTGAAGAGAATGAGATAACGGAAAGAGAAGAATTTGGGGTCTTGATAATGTTCTTCAGTCAGTAGATTAACCAGTCCTGAAGCAGTTCTGTCTCATGTTTGTTTTATGAGATTTTTTTTTTTTTTTAAAAAGCTCTAGTTGAGGAGGTTTTTCTGTTACTTGTAGCAAAGAACATCTTAGCTGACATTGCAAATACTAGATTTAGTGTTTAAGACTAGGGTTCAGAGCTGGGCACAACGATGCATTCTGTAATCCTAGCTACTCGGGAGACTGAAGCAGGAAGACTGCAAGTGTAAGGCCAGTCACAGAAACTTAGTGAGACCCATTTCCAAAATAAAAAAGAGCTGGTGATGTAGTTCAGTGGTAGAGCACCACTAGAATCAATCTCCAGTACTGGGGGAAAAAATAGTGTCCAGATTCTTGGCTTATATGACTGGAATGATGAAAATACCAGAGACTGGAAATAAAAGGAGCATGTGTTGCTTACTCATTCCTTCAATCAAAAAAAAAAAAAAAAAAAAAAAAAAAGAGCATATTCATTAGTAATTTCACGTAGCTAGTAAAAGCATCAACAGGAAGTAGTGATATATCAGTTGGCCCTCTGCATCTATAGGTTTTCAAGCTGTAGATTTAACCAATTTGGATAGAAAATATTTTTAGAAATTGTGTTTATGCTAAACATATACAGACTTTTTCCTGGTCATTATTCCCTAAACAATATAGTACAACTACTTTATGTACAGCGTTTATATTGTATTAGGCATTATAATGTATGTATATTGGAGGATACATGTAAAGGCAAGAACTATGTCTGTTCGTTTATTTATTTATTTGTTGTAGAAGGACACAACACCTTTATTTTATTTTTTATTTTTAGGTAGTGCTGAGGATAGAACCCAGTGCCTCACATGTGCTAGGCAAGCACTCTACCACTGAGCTACAACCCCAGCCTCTATTTATTTATTTATTTGTATTTTAAGACAGAGTCTCATTAAATTGCTTAGGGTTTTGCTAAGTTGCTGAGGCTGGCTTTGAACTTGCAATGCTCCTGCCTCAGCCTCCTGGGTAAATTCTATGCCATATTATATAAGGGATTTGAACAGGCTTAACTTTTTTATCCTGGGGGAGAGAAGAGCCTTGGAACCAATCCTTTGCAAACACCAACAGATGAATGTGTACAGAGTGCTAAGAGAGTACAGAGGAGGATCCTATTTCACTAGTGAGAGATGGGCCTGGGAATACCACCAAGGAAAGACAGTTTGAATTATCAGTAAGCTACAGCTTCAAGAAAACCAGAGGTCATTCTCTAATAGGGAAGCTAAAGCCCAAAAATAACATCTCATAATAAGCATTTAGAAAGAATATGCCTATAACTGATTGTTGGTTCCAACTGTTTAACCTCTAAATTGCTTTACTCAAAATGAATGAATCTGGAACATCAATTAGAATTAAGTTTATAGATAGTGATGAATGATATTACATAGGCCAAGAGTTAAAGAACATCCACTTACCTTTGCATAAGCTTTTCCACCTTTTAATTCCTGCCAAACATAGAAAGCATTATAAGGACATCATATAATTAAGGATTTAAAATTAAACATATGTCAAACAATACCAAAGTAGATATTTATATGCTGACAAAACAGTTAAAATCTAATGATCTTAAATCTAACTGGATAGAGTCTTCAAAATTCCCCCAATGACCAGAATGTTTACTTAATGTATAATTTATTATTTTTAATATCAATACTATCATTATTGAGATGAGGTCTCACTATGTTGCTATGGCTGGCTTCAAATTCCTGAGCTCAAGCAAGCCTCCTGAGTAGCTAGGACTACTGGCACGAGCCACCATATGTGGCTGTAGCATGTAACTTTAATAAGAACACAAATGATGAGAAGACAAGCTAATATTTTATTTATACGCTGAAGTAGGCCGTAGGCCTATTGCAAAAGCCTGAAAAAGGTTAAATTACTTACTCAGTTAAGCATACTCATATATTATAGAAAGATTTCAACAAGTTGAAACTTCACTACAGAGACAACCATTGCTATCAATTCTTACAAAGTATTCCAGAGATGCTCTGTGCATATAAAAGCATACAGATAGGATAGTATAAAATCTCTTATCTAAGGTAAACAAGACTGACAAAAGTGGAAAAATAATAATATATATCAATATTTTATTTGAATTTACGTGTGTGTGTGTGTGTGTAGTAATTTGCCAAATGTTTGTATTTTAACATCACAGCTACAAGAATTAAGCATAAAACACTCAGAAGAATTTCTAGCACACAGTATATTATGCTTTTGTGTTTGCCTCTATGATCAGAGCCAAATTCTTTGTTAAGGTTTAGATAGGTGGTATCCCCCCAAAGCTCATATGTTAGACAATGCAAAACTTTCAGAGGTGAAATGATTAGATTATGAGATGTGTAACCTAATGGAGTAATCCACTAGTATGGATTATGAGGGCATTAACTATAGGCTGGTAGGATGAGGGTAGAGGAGGTGAGTGATTGGGGTATTCCTTCAGGATTTATATTTTGTCCTTGGTGAACAGAGCTCTACTTTCTACTGGGTGTCATGTCCTGAGCTGCTTTCCTCCGCCATGCCCTTCCACCATGATATTTTGCTTCATTTTGGGTCCAGAGCTATGAAGTCAGTCCACCATGAACTGAACCTTGAAAACTGTGAACCAAAATAGTTTTCCTCCTTTAAGTTGTTCTTGCCAGGACTTTACATTCCTCTTCCACTTTTAAAAAAGTGTTTGTTGAATGGAGTTGTCTCTTATTTTTCTTTCATAAACACATTATCTATAATTTCTAACTTTTTTTTTTTTTTTTTTTTTGTGTGTGTGTGTGTGGTACTGGAGACTGAACCCAGGGCCTTGTATACTGACCTATATCCCCAGGCCCTTTAAAAAAAATATATATTTTGAGACAGGGTCTTGCTAAGTTGCCCAGGCTGGCCTCAAACTTGCGATCTTTCTGCCTCAGCCTCCTGAGAAGCTGGGATGACAAGTATATGCCACTTCACCAACTAATTCCTATCTTTAATATAGTGAACTTTTAAAAGTTGAGAGGTAATCTATAGGAAACTCTTATTATTTGTAAATTTGTGTGGCTCCTCTTCTTCCCTCTTGCTAGATCTACTCTATCATGGATTATCAAAATCTTCTTTATTAAGTTACTGTCATATTCCTTAAGTTTCCTTCCTTAAACAAACAAAACTACAGTTCCTCAGATGATCCTTCTCTTTGCTCTTTTCTTTGCTCCCCTCAAGGTCAACTCCTCAAGTGATTTATTTCTCCCTGCTGTATCCTACTCTCTATTCAACCCTCTCCACTTGGATTTTGTCCTCAATTTTCCTTTGTACTAACTCTTAAGATTCTGAATGATATTAATTTTTTTTAAGTCAAAGGCTCTCTGTCTTTATCTTATATAGCTTCTCAGTAGCATTTGACAGGCGTGGCTACTCTGCCTCCTCTTTTTACATTACTTTCCTCTCTATACTTCCCTGGTGAAACACCTGCCTGGTTTCATTTCTACCTTACTGGCTATTCCTTTTCATTTTCCTTTGCTGGACCAATTCCTTTATTAACCTCTTTAGGAAGCAGGTTAGTGGCATACTTCATCAAAATTGAATCCAAATGTTTATCTGTTTATTTACTTATTTATTTGGTACTGAAGATTGAACCCAGGGGTGCTTTACCACTACATCCTCAGTGCTTTGTATTTTTGAGACACGGTGTCACTAAGTTTCTGAGACTGGCTTTGAGCCTGAAATCCTCCTGCCTCAACCTATACCTTACAGGCAAAACCTATATTTTTAGCTGGGCAACTGGCCACCCAAAATAATGACCATCTCTGTTATAATGTTGAGCCCAAAATAAGCATTTCTCTTCTGAACTATTAGAACCACCTAGTGTTCTCTCTGCCAACCTTCCTTCCATAGCAGAAGTGATCTTATAAAAAAAAAATGAGTCTCTCCTTATTTAAATCTTCCAATGGACTCCAATTATAGTTAGAATAAATTCTACACTCTTTACCATGGGTTACAGGGTCCTACCTGATCTAGTGTATCCAACCTTATCACCAAGAATTTTCCATCTCTGTTTTCCAAGCTCCAGTGAGGCTGGTCTTCTGTCATTTAAACATGACAGATTTGTTAGTACTGCCTGGCGATCATGGTACTTTTGAACCTGTAGTTTGATATCTTTTATCAGTTTTGGAAGAGTCTCAGCCATAATCTCCTCTTCCTTCCTCTAGGGCTCCAATTACATAAATGTTAGACCTTTATACTGTTCTCCATGTCTTACACTCTTTTCTGCATTAAAAAAAAATATTTACTTCCATCTTATTTTCCAAATTATCAGTGTTCTCTTCAGTTGTGGTAAAGCTGCTATTAAAGTCATTTGTTGAAAAATTTTCATATTCTTGGCTTTAAACTTTAGTTAGTATATTTTTTGGTTCTAAAATTGCTTTTATTTTTTTTTTAATTACTGTTTCTAGTTCTCTGATGAAACCCACTTTGCTCATTAATTAGTCATTGTAAAGTTTGTCTTTGGAATTTCTAAAACCTGTATCTTTCATGGGTTTGTTATTATCATCTATTTTTCCTTTTGAATTTTGATCATGTAGTCACGACTCCTGGCATATTGGTTAACTGTGTTTGAAACTTAAAGAAATAATCTAGGGTTGAGTGAGACTGTCAGAAAAGACTTGAATTGATTGGAAGTGGGGTTTCAGTTTTGTAAGGGCTGATTCATATGCACTATGCTTCTCCTTTTAGGTTGAAATACTTAGCAAATTCCAACCAAAAGTCTGGGATGTTCACCAAGCCTAGGAGGCATCTCTTTCTTGATGGACCCCAGACACTATTTTTGTCCATTTAGACCTGTAAGACTGCTGCAATCTCAATATAGCTTATTAGCTACTGCTTGCAAATTAGCAAATACTTTGAGGATAAAAGCAATGCCAAATGTTAGGTCTGTCTATCTATCTATCTATCTATCTATAGTCTCTTTTTACATATTTGTGAGTGCCAGGCAAGTGCTCTATCACTGCGCTATCTCCCCAGCTCTTCCATACATCTTCACATGCCTGCCTCTCTTCAAATGTTAGCTTGTAGAGAAGTCTTCAAAGACTCCTCCCCCAATTTTCTAAACTAAGGTCTTCCTCCAAGTTATATCTCATGATATTTTATGCAGAACACTTATTATTTATTTTGTTATGTGTTTATCTCTCTTTCCTATCATTCCTTACCAATTCTAACCAGAAAATGAAGTCCTTGAAGGCAGGAACCCATTCCAGTATACTTCTGTCCTTTCAGTGCCTAGAACAATACTTGGCACATTGTAGGTACTTACATATTTGATTAGTAACTGACTGCATCCCTATGTCTAGACAAAAAAGCACACTACCAAACTTTTTGATCTTTATCAACTTTATAGATTAAAAATAATGTATCTTGGGCCAATTTTGTGGCTCAGTGGTAGAGCGCTTGCCTAGCATGCATGAGACACTGGGTTTGAGCCCAGGAACCATATAAAAATGAACAAATAAAAAAAGGTATTGTGTCAATCTACAACTACAAAAATATTTTTTAAAATATGGTATCTTACTTGTAGTTTTGTGTGAGGGTGGATAAATTTTTATATGTTGAAAAACTATATGTTTCACTCTCCATCAAGTGTATATTCTGTCCTTGCCTAGTTTTTTAAGGACTATTGATTTTTTTCTTATTATTTGGAGGTACTTTTTCTATATTAAGGAATTAGTGCTTTGACATAACTTGCAAATATTTTCTCTAATTTATGGTATTATTTTGCAACTCACAAAATGTTTAATAGTTGAGTTAGTTAATCTTTCTTTTATGGCTTCTTTTATAAAATACTTGGGAAGGATTATGTAGAATAAATTCAATACCTCTATCTTCCTAGCATAGCATGACTTCCAACATCAATTTTCCTCTTCTATCAAGTTAGAACCTGTTGGCCACCCAGCTAACAGATGACATTCATGGTTTTTCTTTTAGTTTGGTGTGGTGACATGACTAAGTTCTAACTGGTGAGATATGTATAAAATACACATACATCACTTTTAAGTCATGTCCTAAAAAGGGATGCATTTGTTCTTATGTCACTAGTTGGGAGATAAAAGGAAGCTGCTCTAATCAAGTTATCTAAAGAAGACAACATATGGTGAAAATGAAAATGGCAGGGCTGCTCTACCAGTCCTGGATCCTACCCCTGGTACATAAACTTCTACTTTGTTTAAGTCATTGCCTACTTGGGTCTCTGTTTAAGCTGCTTATCATATTATCCTAATTAATATGCCAGACACTTATGATCTAAGGAACTGGTTTACTTCAGATGAGTAATTCCTATCACAAGTAGTATTATTAGTTCTTGCTTATTATTCTTTAAAAACAGACTTTGAGTATCTTTATTTGAAGTTATACTTTACTCTAAACTTGTCATGTTTTATTTATCTTAAAATTCAAAGACCGACAAGTCATCTTTCAGAAATCATGATCAAAACTCCAATTAGAAGGGCTAGGGTTACTATTTGGCTCAATGGTAGAGTGCTTGCCTAGGACATGTGAGGCGCTGGGTTTGATCCTCAGCACCACATATAAATAAATAAATAGACAAATAAAATAAAGGTACTGTGTCCATCTACAACTAAAATTTTAAAAAAGATAACTCCAATTAGGAAAGTTTTAAAAAAAGAGTAGCAGCAATCAAGGTAGAAAGGAATGATGGTAGGATGCTCTACTTATATATCAGCTAATCCCTATACCTTCCTGAAGAAGAAAGTATTATTCCTTATTTGGATGAGGAGATAGATTTTACAGGACAGAATTGCCTCAGGTCTCATAGCTAATACATGACCAATGGGACTCAAGCCCATGTACACTTTCACTGTACCACACTTCCTTTAAGGTCGCCACCATTCAATGACTGCTGCTCTAAAGGACCATTTAAAGAGGTCTATCTTCATTAAAGTCTTCAAACTTATAAAATTATTTACATACACATGTGTTTGTTATATTTTAACTGAGCAGACTAAGCAATACAAAAGAATTTTATAAATATAGCCACATATATCATAGTGCTATCAGTTCATTCAAAAAGTAGGATACAAAGACTAAACATACAGCTTTGTTTTTCTAGGCTATAGGACTAGAGTGAAAAAAAAGCAAGACAAGGGACTGCTTTTTGTTCTAAATCTTTTTCTATTTAATTTTTGCCAATGTATGCACATTACTTTGGTAATTTAAAAATATGTAATACAAAACATAGTTTACTTTTTTTTGGTACCAGGCATTGAACCCAGGGGTATTTAACCACTGAGTCACATCTCCAGCCCCTGCCACATCTTTTTTTTTTTTTTTTTTTTTTTTTTTGAGACAGGGTCTTGCTAAATTGCTTAGGGCCTCACTAAATTGTTGAAGCTGGCTTTGAACTTGTAGTCCTCCTGCCTCATCCTCCCAAGTTGCTGGAAATATAGACATGTGCCACTACACCTGGCCAAAGTTTATATTTTAAAGCCAGAGTTTATTAATTCACTAGTAGTGGTGACTAATGGATTCCTCTTTTTTACCCTGAAAGGCAGCATCACACACATGCACAGCATACAAGATGACATTATCACATTTGTGGATTATTGGTAATATCCTTCAATCTAATATGTGGAAAAGAAATATAAAAAACAAAACATGTATTTGTAATTAGAAAAGTCTGTGTTAAGAGTTCCTCCTTCCCCTTTATTAACAATGTAAATTTGGGCAAATAACTTCTTTGAACCTTAGTTTTCCTGAAAATGAAGAAAATAACACCTAATTAGAGAGCTGTTATTAGATATGATATTTATAAAGTTCCTAGAACAATGCCTATCAAAGAACAAGAACTTAATAAATGACAGAATATAGACATAATAGTCCCCAAACTAATGTAAATAAAGTCAATATTCATGAATAGTGGTAGTGAGAGGAGGGTTCTTGAATATTTTAATTTATAACTTCAGATTCTTCATCATATTTGTCATAGGAATTTAAATTATTGCTGTAATTGTGAAGTAAAATTATATATGAATCACCACAGTTCTAACCCAAAAGCAGAGCTAAATAAAACGAGTCAGCAATTATGGAATTATGGCTTCTAAAATGGGAGAAGTAATAGGCTCTTTTTATACCTTCCTCACAGATACTCTGTAGATACATGGGTCGAGGATTCCTGTGGCAGCACTGGCACTCATTTTGCACATAAATGAGAACTTCTTTCTCCAGTGAACGCAGTTTGCTTGAACCACTTCCCTGAAAAAAAAAAAGGGGGGGGCAATTACTCATTATTGATAACATGTTAAAAACACACCCACACTTTCACTCAAGCCTATAATGCAAAGTGATATATTAAAAGTCATCATTTGTAAATATAAGAGCAAGAAGAAAATACGTTCCTAACAATGATCTGAAAATAACTGCAAAGTTTTAATTTATATACAAGAAACTGAAAAAAAATGAATTTCTTATCAAGTCAGTCAGTAAAAATTGAGGCTTCATTATTATTTCATTCAACACACAATGCACATTCATTTTATGTGTGTTGGTAAGAGCTGGATGTTTAAAATACAAAGATGAGAAATACAGAGTTCCTAACCTGCAGGGCTTATGTTTATGATTAGTGCAAGAGATAGGGAATATATACAAATACTACAAATATAAAAATATTTATTCTAAGATAGAGTATGACAGTACTGTTTCAGTAACAGGAGCTACCATTTACTGAGAGCTTACCACTCACTACTTGATTCTCTACAACCCTAGGAAGTAGCTGGTGTTTCCCTCACTTTGTAGACATGGAAATTGAAACTCAGCAGGGAAGTTAACTCAAGGTCATTTACACAGCAAAAGCAGAACTGGCAAACCAGGCTCATTTAACTCTACAGTCCCCTTGCCTATAAATGAAAATCTCTATTTTTTCCAATAATTCACTCTTTCAAGTTTGCTGGTTTTTATACATGTTGTTCTTTCTACTATCCTGTGCAGGTTCAGGGTGCTAAACCTCAGAAAGTAAGAATAATTGTTTTCCTAGAAGAACTCAAACTACCATTATTTGCTGATGACATGATTATATACTTAGAGGATCCAAAAAACTCCACCAGAAAACTTCTAGAATTAATAAATGAATTCAGCAAAACAGCAGGATATAAAATCAATATTCATAAATCAAATGCATTCTATACATCAGTGATGAATCTTCTGAAAGAGAAATTAGCAAAACTACCCCATTCACAACAGCCTTAAAAAAAAAAAAAAAAACCAACTTGGGAATCAACTTAACAAAAAAGGTGAAAGACCTCTACAATGAAAACTACGGAACACTAAAGAAACAAATTGAAGAAGACCTTAGAAGATGGAAAGATCTCCTATGCTCTTGGATAGGCAAAATTAATATTGTCAAAATGACCAGACTACCCAAAGCGCTATACAGATTCAATGTGATTCCAATTAAAATCCCATTGTCATTCCTTATAGATATAGAAAAAGCAATCATAAAATTCATTTGGAAAAATAAGAGATCCAGAATAGCCAAAGTAATCCTTAGCAAGAAGAGTGAAACAGGAGGCATCACAATATCAGAACTTAAACTATACTACAAAGCTATAGTAACAAAAACAGAATGGTATTGGCACCAAAGTAGACTTGTAGACCAATGGTACAGAATAGAAGACACAGAGACAAACCCACATAAATACAGTTATCTCATACTAGACAAAGGCACCAAAAACATACATTGGAGAAAAGATAGCCTCTTCAACAAATGGTTCTGGGAGAAGTGGAAATCCATATGCTGCAAAATGAAACTAAATCCCTATCTCTCACCATGCACAAAACTCAACTCAAAGTGGATCAAGGACCTAGAGATCAGACCAGAGACCCTGCACCTTTGGACCCAAATTTAAGACACAAACCACAGCAATATCTTAAAATGTTATCAAGTATTCTAAGAATTAACACTTAGATACAAAAAAGCTATTAATATTGCAAAGCCCTAAAACCTTGCTTTAAGTTCTGTCACTTTTCATTTATTTGTGAAATATCAGTAATTCCTCAACCATACTAATTACAGAAATATATTTTAGGTTTTTATCTAGTTTGAAATATCCTTAAAAGATAAGTGTATTCTAGATACTAAACAGCACATGCTATCATTTGCACAAATGCAGCTTTAAGTTGAGTAACAAAAATTTTAAAAATCAAGTGAACTGTATGTGGATATCTCTTTTTAAAAAATAAATAAGCAGGAAAGATGTATTCACAGAAATATTTATCTGGTCTAGCAAGAGAGAAGATGAAGCCAACATTAAGCCTAGTAGGCTAAGAAACAAGAGATTAAGAAACTATAGCACAGAATTAGAAATATGGGCAAATAATTGAAATTATAGTGTAGAAGAGAGATAATAAGTTTTAACAAAGAATATGACATTAAATATTAAGGGGGAAAATATACTTCCATAACCCTATGTCCAAGTGTACTTAAACACTATCTACTTATTATCACTTTCTTTGCCCCTAGGTTCAAGCTTCTTAAAGATAATACTAATGCCAGGTGTGATGGCACATGCCTGTAATCCCAGCAGTTTAGGAGGCTGAGAGAAGAGGATTGTAAGTTCAAAGCCAGCCTCAGCAAAAGCAAGGCACTAAGCAACTCAGTGAGACTTTGTCTCTTTTCAAAATAGGGCTGGGGATATGGCTCAGTGGTCAGGTGCTCCTGAGTTCAATCCCCAGTACTCAAAAATAAAATAAAATAAAATAAAATAAAGATGATACTAATGATAATGGTGACAGCATTTACTAATGAGAGCTTTTCACACACCAGATACTGCTGTGGGGATGTTACATATATTAACACATTTAATCCTCAAAACTGTCTGAAGAGGGTACTGTTGGCTCCATTTGCTAAACAAAGGAACTAAAATACAGAGAAAATAAGTGACTTGTCCAAGGTCACTTAGCTAAGAAGCATTAGAACTAGAACTTGAAGAAATGCCTACAGTGTAGACATTGTCCATCTCCTCACCTCCCAGCTACTTTTCAGTGTCCCTAATCAGGATTCTACCTCCACCTCTCCACTGAAACTGCTTACCAGTGAGGAACTAATTGCCAAATCCAATGGGCTCTTTTTAAATTATCATAATTGATCCTTTCATATATTCTTGGCGCTGGGGATTGAACCCGTGGTCTTGTGCATGAGAGGAAAGCTATATCCTCAGCCCCCATATATTCTTGAAATATTCTTCTCTCTTTCAATTTCTGTGACTATTTATTCTCAGTTTCTTGTTCCTGTCACCTTAAAATGTTGATGTCCAACAAGTTTCTATCCTTGGCTTTTACTCCTATCTTAAATATTAGTCAGATACTGAGAACTTATAAAACTAAGTTTTTTTCCCCTATGTTCTCCTGTTAATGGGAGATCCAACCTGGTACTGCTGGCCTCTAAGTAATGCTTTAGGCCCATGACATCTGTCCATCATGGCCCTTACCAGCAGACTAGTTACCAGTTTGACTATGTAGTTAAACTAGTCAATAGTTTGCCTAGCATATGGTAGACTGTTAGTTGTTTATCCACTATCCAGTCTCTCCTTTTCCTTAACAGAATCCTGATTTTATTCAGACTGGCTATGTGTCCACTTAAAAGACTACATTTGATAAGTCTCCATGCAGCTAGGGGTAGGCATGGAATTGAGTATAAATGAGAAATAAATGGAAGCAACTGGATGTGATTTCTGGAAAGGCACAATAAAAGAGGGATAGTGGAGACACATCCTTTTACCTTTTACAATTTCTTCCTTCCTCTGCCTGGAAAAGCTGCAAGATGGTGGTGCCAAGAAAGTAGGAAGGTGGGTTCCTGATAAACATATCCCTGGACTGTCTCCATCCAAACTTCATAAATCTCCTTATTTAAAATGTTTTGAGTTTTGTTACATGCAGCTGAACTGAATCCTGATATAGTCTAGATCTGTTCATTCCTGAATGAAGATTGTAAGAGTTTGCTTAGTCAGCCTTTTCACTGCTGTGACTAAAACACCTGAACGGCATAATTGTAGAGGAGGGAAAGTTTATTTGGGGGCTCACAGTTTCAGAGGTCTCAGTTCATGGATAGCAGGCTCCATTCCTCAGGGCTTCAGATGAGGCAGAATATCATGGTGGAAGAGTGTGGCAGAGGGAAGCAGCTCACATGACAATCAGAAAGCAGAGAGAGACTCCACTCTCCCATAGTGACACCCTCATTGAACCACTTCCTCCAGCCACACCCCACCTGCCTAAAGTCACCACTCAGTTAATCCCACCAGGGATTAATTCACTGATTAGGTTAAGGCTATAACCCAATCATTTCTCCTCCAAACCTTCTTGCATTGTCTCACATGTGAGCTTCTGGGGACACCTCACATCTAAACCACAGGACGGCTCAAATGTTATTCCCATTGTGGTAGGTGCCTCAGGAATCCCACAGTCCCACTGCCTTCATTTAAGGTTACGGTATGGTTGAAATGCTTTGAAATCTATTGTATATATTTTTCATGACTTGCATAGACCCACTCAAAGAAGCCACAAATCAGCCCAGGTCTACTTCCTGTGTGGGTTAATACACCCTTCAGATACATGAATACTGCCTCCAAAGTAGCAGAGTGACATACATACTAGGACTCTAGAACAGGTTCTATAGTGAAAAGAAAGTCCAGTAAGCCAAGAGATTGGGTTGGAATGAACTAGATCTGTGGAAAGAAATTACTTTACAGCATGCATAACAAAGAATTTTTATTGAAGAAGAAACCCACCAATGATCAAGGCAGAAAATAGAGGGTGTACATAATATTATAGACACAGGCTTCCAACTACAGTAAACATTCAATAAATATCTGCTGATCCAATGAACAAGTGAAGTCATTTGTGGGATATAAATTCCTGCCTATTTACCAATTCTTATCTATGCTACTTCCTAACTATTTAGAAATCAAGTCCTTTCCTGTGTCTATTGTCACTGTCCTAATTTAGATTCTATCTCTTCCATGAAATATGGCAAGAGCCCTCTTAATGGCTCCTGCTCAAATCTACCTTCCTCACTGATACCAAAGAGCTCCTTTTAAAATACAAATGCAATGATGTCATTGTTCTGTTTAAAAATCCTTCGCTGCTTCCTCATATTTTATAAGATGAAGTCCAACCTATTTAAGAGGGAATCTGTGGATAAATCCCTGGCTATCTTTAGTCTTATCTCTTGACACAGTCTATCCTCATATTGCCTGTTGTTC